CAGCTCGATGAAATTTATTGGGTGAATTAAAGAGTGTATACCAAGTATTCAGTGCGTATTTTTTATCCTTATATTCATCAAGTTTTTAAGATAACGGATGATGAAATAACCTGCAGAAATGCTAGTTTAGTCAGCTACATTTTAGTGCAAACAATGAAGATGATTAACTTGTTTGATGGTAAATATACTTTCATTTTCGAAGTAATTTTTAGCTTGCATGACTAGTCACCTGATTACTGTAGATATTCTTGCTGGTTAATGTCATGAAGTAAACTGGCATTATTGCGTATCTGTCTAAGTTATGATAGCAAACATTTCACACAAGATATCAAGAAGGAAGACAGGCAAAAGGATATGGTGTAATCAAAATTTGTAGAAAGTCATCTGAAGAGAAGGTGATTGAGAAAACTTCTACCAGTCACACTGATACAATTCCATATTGTTTCGTTAAGCTTATTGGCTAAATATCTTTGTTATAACTACTGTGTTTAGTACTGAAGACTGATACAACGATCCATGTTCATAATCCAGTTTTGATTTCATCAGTTATAGTCGAAATAACTCAAAAGTAATACTTCTAACTGCTGTGCTATGTGGAGTTTAACTTTAATTTTAACACTACTCAATTTTTTCTAAGAATTTTAAGTATGTCTTACTAATGAATCTTGGAAGGTATAAAACCCGACTGATTTCAAATACCCAGTAATTATTACAAACTTCTAAAGTTATAGTGTGTGTTTTCTTGGATGTTAACTAGCATAATCAACATTCAAAATATGATTTCATCGTAAATTAAATATCTCAATACTCAAATATATCAACTGTCACTTTCTAATCAGGCTTAAATCTAATATCCTTATTTTAGTTCCATGTTCATATATATATATATATATATATATATATATATATATATGTCTAGATTTTAGTTCAAGTTCAACTTTCAATATTCATTCAATGCGTTCCTTTTAATCGCTGTCATCAAACCTAGAAGAACAAGATTTACAGCGTAAAATGAATGAAGATTTTATTTTTCACCTTCGAAGAATACAATAAACAACGTACAATTATGCTTGAACACGATAAACGGGAACAATGCAAAGGGTGGAATATCCTAGCAATATATCATTTATTATAAATCTAATTGCTGATAGTAGTATTATTGTCATCATCAACATTATGATTACGGTTGTTATTACTGCCACTACTCACTACATAACTTTACTTCCTGTTAGCCTAACTCATATATTTCAAGTTGATTTCATATAACTTTTATTATAAGTATTGTTATATCTTGTTTTCCTCACATTGTTTCACAGAAGAATTATATATGTGTATATACTTCGGCGTAGATTTCTTAAGTTTCCGTTTCATGTCATTTATTCAACATAAAGTACTACAGTGACTGCGTACAAAAATAGTAATTGTTTATTTTGGTTCAATGCTCATCACCTTTGTATGTTTTTAGTGAAAGGAATCCATGTATAATAATCTGGTGGTAAATTATTGTTCCACACGATCACACACATAGTCAGGCCATGGTTCTCTGTATACACAACTGAACACTGATTTTTGTTTCCAGAATATAATGACAAGGCAATTGCTTTTTCACATATCTATGCGTTATACACTTTATCTATCTTTAAAATCAACGGAGAATAATTCCAAAAGCAATATTATTACAACCTTATGAATGTGGTGAATACCTTCGGTGCGCTTCATTTTACTTTTCAGAATGAAATATTCTACTGGGAGACTAACACATTTTTAATTATCTTATAGGGTAGCTGTGCTGGTAAATTTGTTTGGCATAACTAACCAGTTGATCATCATGCTGTTCCCAAGAAATTTCGTCACAGAGTAACAGTAAAAGAAAAACAGGCTGTCCAAATATTCTTCACAAACTTTTCTGTGGTTTCACTCTAGAGTAGTCTATGTTCTGACTAAACTCCAGCTAGTAGCCTGTTTAATTCTTACCCTACCAACTGTCACTTGAGAAATAATCTCAAAATAAATTTAAATTTTTAGCATAGTTACAGATAACTGTATGCATTGGTTGTATTGATGAGAGATATTTGTTTACTTTTCACGGGTCACTTCATCCTGTAACATTCATTTTATTTCATCCAGACTACGAAACATAAAGATCTAGACAAAAATCAAATGATGTATCGCTAGTTATTTGATTCACGAGGTTAATTTGCAGATAACTTAAAAATAGAGATAAAAATTTAAACTTAGCTTATATTTATGCTGCACAGATTATGTCTTAAAACAATGAGCTAGTATTCTGAAGGTTGTAAATGATAATGTAGATGCTTTTGTAAGTTTCAATTTGGTCCGCAGCTTTCATATCAAAGCTATCATAAATAAGCTTGTTGATGATAAATAATAAAAGTAACTAACTGTTCATTTAAAATAACCTTTGATTTCAAATTTTTATGAATAAGGAAATATACGTTCAGTTCACCTTGATTTATTATTTTCAAGCAGTTGAATGACCGTTTACGAAACATTTTCAGAATGTGAGAACAAAAGACCTCTGTACTTGGAGACGAATATGTTATATCTTAAGGTCTTTAGGTGTAGCAAGGCTGTTGTTAAGAAAGACAAACTCTTACTTTATGTCATTTGGAACTAAACAACCCAACGTAATCTGTTTACCACAAAAATGACCAAGTCAGCAAAATTGTTTTTTCTTTCAGACTGATGACTTCTAGAGTTCTCTGAAGGTAGTTTTTGATATGTGTACACAAATGAACCGTTAAATAATAAAGATTAGTGAACAGATGATTTCAAGAGATACTAGCTAAAGTATGTGGTAGTTAGTGATTGTATATCAGAAGTCTAAAGACAATGCAACTGAAATTAATTCCTAAAACGTTTCAGTAAGTGATGTACAAAGAAGATCTGACAAGTGGCCTAAGGATACACGTTCTTCCATTTCAGCACTGTACGGTATCAGCGACTGTTATCATACAAAGTGACTAGTCGTTTTGTATTATCTAAGAAAACGAAATGATAGCTCCAGTCTGCTGAACTTATTTGAATGGTCAAAAAGTCGAACTTCTTCTGCTGGAGCTCGGATATCTAGACTTTAAACACTAAAAGCGTAATTCACTTAGTGGTGGCTAGCAGTAGAATTCGATACATGAGTTCCATCCTATTTAAGGCTTTTCCTGTTTTCTAGAAAAACCACACTTTATCAGTGTACTAAATGTCGACATCTGCAATTTCATACTGATCATTATGTTAGGGCTGTGTTGAGAATAGCTCTGCAGATGTCTGGATACTACTATAGGTGTAAAACTTTGGCACTGTGGTAGAATTTAATTCTATATTAGATTTGTTTATTTGATTTATAACACATAGTGATCTAGTATTATTTACTTGATGACGTTTCGAGTACAAATTATTGCTCATAATCATATCATTGTAATCACAATACTTTCGACATTTGATTTTTATAGTTATGTCACTTTATATGAGTTATTCTTATTGGTAGAAACATTTTCCATATCTCTGGTATAGGTGTTGCGTCATTTCTATTACATATGTTGGGTGTGGATTCGATGAACAAAGATTCAGTAATCAATCTCTCTCTCCCCTCACTGAATTATATTGGACTTAATTACAGTGGCTTTATCCCACCCTATGCATGCATAGCAATAGTTGAATTTTTTCTGGATTATTGATCTTATTTAGGTCTGTTATTCTATATTTAGCTAAATTCCTATGTTTGGCTATTCTAACTGACCCCGACCGATTAGGTTGACCTATATACTTGACCTCACAGTCATTACATGAAATTTGATAGATTAGATCATTTTGCTCAGTTGGTTCTATCGGATTCTTGAGGTGAAAAAGCCTATCTGCGAGTGAGTTTGTAGGTTTAAATGCCACCCTGATTCCAGCTACGTTAAGGAATCTACATAAAGTTTTTGAGGTACCCTCCTTATAGGGTAATACAATGGAGGCTGTGAACTCCTTTTTACTCGTGTTGTCGTTATTAGTCGCACTCGTGTGACTGTTCTTTTTTCTTTTTTTGTGTGTCCGTAAGAATTTCTTAATAAACTGCAGTATATATATATGGGTCGAACTAGTCGGTCGGGGTCAGTTAGAATAGCCAAACATAGGAATTTAGCTAAATATAGAATAACAGACCTAAATAAGATCAATAATCCAGAAAAAATTCAACTATTGCTATGCATGCATAGGGTGGGATAAAGCCACTGTAATTAAGTCCAATATAATTCAGTGAGGGGAGAGAGAGATTGATTACTGAATCTTTGTTCATCGAATCCACACCCAACATATGTAATAGAAATGACGCAACACCTATACCAGAGATATGGAAAATGTTTCTACCAATAAGAATAACTCATATAAAGTGACATAACTATAAAAATCAAATGTCGAAAGTATTGTGATTACAATGATATGATTATGAGCAATAATTTGTACTCGAAACGTCATCAAGTAAATAATACTAGATCACTATGTGTTATAAATCAAATAAACAAATCTAATATGGAGTCTGGATACTAAGTCGTCTTCAGATTTATGGTTCAAAAGTATCAGTAAATACCAACTGATACCCACTTCATAAGAAGCGACTCTCGTGGCCAAGTATCTTCGTGAATAATAATCCTCTGGCGTTGAAAACGATGGGTATTGGCTTCGAATCTTATACATGATCATCCAAATGGGGAAACCCATTTGGGTAAAAAAATGCGCCCCGTATTCCAGTGCTAGCCAACATTAGGTAAATAACTTCAGTATGAAAATGGAGGCGGTATCGAGGCATCTACCAAAGGAGTCTATATACCAAGATAGAGAACGAGATTGATTCGGTCTCAGTGAATTTTAAACTGATATTAGGTTATATTTCAAGACATATTTAAGTCCTGTACATAATATTTAATAAATATTTCATACATGTGTATAACTCATATTTTTGTGTACATACATACTGCTCCCCGCCTTAAATTATTCTTTTTCAGATTTGGGACGATATCGATGATGTAATCATTAAGACAATATTATCTGGCTATGCTATAATTAAACATAATTATCGAACATGCTTTCCAAATCACGTCCAAACATCCGCATGTTTTGAAATTCTAGGCTTTGATATTATGTTCAATCATAGACTCAAACCGTATGTACTAGAAGTGAGCGAAATTCATGGATGAATACAATTAAACAGATACTTTGAATTGTTAATGATTTTAACGTGTATTGGTTAACACAGTAGTGACCTTGAAACAACTAAATTTATTGCAAAATATTGAAAAATCGGTTGCTGTGTTCATAGAAGAAATAAGTATTTCAGTTACATCACAACTGTAAATCATTTTAAAAAACTTTTGACTGGAAAGACGTGTATTATTTCTCGGATGCAGACTTTTTATAGACAAATCCTACAATGAAGTGGAATTTGTGTGCTAAAGTATCTCTCATTACACATCTACATAATGTGACAGATAGTTGGATAATACAAATTCTCGATAGTTCATGAGATATCCAGTTTCTCATTTTGATTATTTAAGATAGTTGTGGTTTGGCAGACTAGTATTGATACTGGATGATAAAGACTTGACTCAACATTAAATCTCGATGATAGATATCCAAAACAGTTGAAAGTTGTCAGAGTTTTAGCTTAGTGACATGTAAATAAATATCTCGCTAAGTTTTTACTCAGATATCGCCGACACTTTAACTCCTAATAATGACCAAGATTGGTGCATAACAACGTTAAAACAAACCGACATGTAGAAAGGTTGCCAAAAGAGTCATATGTGACATAAATATGTACATTAGCCTTACAAAGTTAAGGCGTGTGATAGGGTGAATTTAAAATTGACCAACTTTTTAGTGGTATCAACTTCTGCCTTCAATTGGTCTTCTAAAACAAATGTTTGCATATTGCGGTACAGGGAAACCGGCGGATGAGACAAGGATCTTGAAGTTAGTGAGTAACTTTGCATGAAACTGATTTATGAATAGAATAAAACATCTGATTATATATATATATATATATATATATATATATATATGTCACATTACTGCGTACACCAACTAACTATTGTAAATAAATCCAAGGAAAGTTGGGAACAAGTGTGACCACATCATAATACAATTAGGATTAAATGAAATCATTGATATTTCGTATTTCAAAAAATTGGTTGGCTCCACTGATCACGACTTCTTATTGGAACTTCAGGGATCACCTCTCGAAGCCAGTCACCAATTAACACTAGATTAATTCAATTTTGAGGTTTTTGGGGATTTATTCATTGATTTCAGGTTGGAATTCATCATGGAATGACATTAGTTGGAGAAACATTGGAAACCTAAGAGTACAGGGCAGCTGTTTCGTCCTATTTACACATGGTAACGCCAAAATAATATTGAGTTGCTAAGTTGAATAAGGTTAAACGTTTAGGTGAATGAGTAGAAGCAAATAGTTGAATAGAGAGACATATGATCAACATAAAACAGATAATATTGCAGAAACAAAGTAAATGAAAAAGTTGTTTCTGAATTATTTGTCCATATATACATCATCCTCTACAGTTCAGATCCCCAGAAAACTTATTCGTTGTACATATTCGAAGCTTTAAGAACTTGATGATAACGTTTGCACCATATGTAAGGGAAAAATTTGTACAAAGTATGAACAAACTTCAGAGATGACTTCAAAAATATTTTCAGAATCGTTGAAGTGACCTGATTCCATTCGATTTACAAAAATCAAGATATACACTGTTCACCTTTTTACTTTCTTCAATCAGATTTATTATGTGGTCAGAGCTATAGTTATTACCCAACTGAGTATAAATTGATGGATCCTGGTAAGATAAGTAATCTAATGACTAATTTAGCCATGGTTGTATATGCGATAACACATAACCACACAGAGGGTTGGACATAACAATCCTAAAGGTCAGCGTAGATAAGTGGGAGGAGACATTGAACACTGAATCTCTTTTCTGCAATTCCACGCCTAACCAGTGTACTAGGAATGTGACTAATCATGAATTTCAAATATACGGAAAGTTCTGCTCGCAACCAAGTGACAATAAAAACGAGTACAGTTAAAATAAAAATAAGACGGAAAGTTGTGGGATTACCTTGATAAAATTATGAGCAATAAATTATGCTCAAAACGTTATCTAGTAAGTAGTTTTGTATTACTGTGTGCTTTACCAAACAGACTTATGTGATATGGAAATAAACTTGTGAACGCTCACTGAGTTAGCTAACAATTGTAGTTTATTCTTTACGCACAACTATGACGAAAGGCAAATGAAGTATTTCGATTGTAATTTGGCTACATAAAGGTCACTTTCAATGAACGGGATAGTTTATTTTTCAATGCTTTTACTGGAAAATTGTTAATGAACTCTAAAATCGATAAAAATAGTCAACAAAATATCAAGCTAATTAAGTTTCAACTTCAAAGACTTGAGAAGTTGTGGCGAAATGACCCTGACAGGTGATTATTATACTTCACTTCCTTTATTCATATATTCGTTAAAAAATTTAATAGATCCATTGAATCTTTTACTGCGGAAAAAAAATCCGATATTTCATTTTTACACTAGAAATATACAAGTTTCCGTATGTAGACAAATCCTGAATATCACCAAATTCACCATTTACTTTTATTTGTAAGTAAAATAAGCTGAATTTCGTGTCTTAACGTATGCTAAATAACACAGAAATGAAACGCCACATTATCTTACCAGTTATTAAAACAAAATAAATCACCGCTTAGAATCAACAGATACTGTAAACATATCCTCTCAGAGCCTGATAAACCAACAAATACCTTCAAAGAAAAGTCTGTCACATAAACCTGAGTTTCAGGATAACACGAACGAACAGAAACCAAATGAGTTCATAAGAACTAGAAGTGATAAATGTAGTGCAATGTTCACGTCTCTGAAGATCATAGAGCTATAACATCTGAGCTACAGTTATCGATTTCGACTCCTATAATTGAGATTTTCAAGGCACTGGATCCCAGCATGTCAAGTTTTAGTCAGGATAGGCAACTCTTCTCCTATCTTAGCTAGACTAAAAGTCATAACCCATACGAACTGGTGATCTGTTTTCACTTATCCATCCTTTATTTTATGTTTAAAATGAGTCCTACTTCTACTAGAGTTGCACCTAAGAGTAGGCAATGGCTTATATTCTTACTACATATTACAGACACGTAAATAGGTTCAAAATATTATCCACTGATTAAATTACTTTGCTGATGACCCACGCCTAACCAAAATATTGCTAGTTGTTTTGTTTCAGCAAATTCTATAGGTGCTATGAAGTCACCTACGATCAAATATGTACACGTAACCTGTGATAAAACCACAAAGTTCATTAAGAGACAGGCGGCAAAGAAAGCACAAATTTAGGTTACTGTCACTTTCGAAACACAGAATACCTGTATAAAAAAGACGACAATTCAATATTACTCTGTTATAAGGATTACAATTTACTCCAATTCGTATTTCATCCCTTCAGGTCCCTGAATAGCAACTCAGAACTTTTAGAATTAAGCAAACGGGAATAAAAAACCTCGCCTGGTTAACTAGTTTACTAGTTACTAGCCGGTCCTAAGCCCGGGTAAAGAGGGAAGGTTGGGCATAGGGCTAGCAACCCTACCACGTAAAACAAATCTAACCGCTAAACAAACTTCAAAGCACAAACAAAATATAAAAAATGAAAACAAACTTATTCCCCGCTGGAATCGGAGAGGCGAAATGACGCCAGTTGGTGAAAGCCTTCGGGAAGCCAATTGACCGATGTGTCTTCTCTCCCTCGGTGAAAGCGAAAGTAAACGTGGGGACATGGAATGTCCGTACGATATTTGAACCCAGTAAGGCAGCCCAGATTGCAAAGGAGATGAGAAGGTATCACATCGAAGTGCTTGGGATTTGCGAAAGCAGATGGAATGGGAGTGGACTCTCCAAACTGTCAACTGGAGAATCAATAATCTACTCCGATATTGTCACCCAGACGCCAACCACGAGCACACTGAGGGAGTGGCTATCATGATGTCCTCAAGAGCATCGAAGGCTCTCATGCAGTGGGAACCAATCTCCTCCAGGATCATGACAGCAAGATTCAACTCAAAAGGAAGAAAGGTCACAATCATACAATGCTCCGCTGTGCACCTACAAATAATGCAGAGCAAGAGAAAAAGGAGGATTTCTACAGACAACTTCAATCAACACTGGACAAGACGTCAGTTGGCGATATCAAAATTCTGATGGGCGACATGAATGCCAAACTGGGAGGGGACAACACGAGAAGAGAACTAACCATGGGTCGAGAGGCGCTAGGTGAAATGAATGAGAATGGAGAATTGTTTGCAGAATTCTGCGCATTCAACGATTTGATGATTGGAGGCAGTGTGTTCAGGCACAAAGATATCCACAAAGCGACATGGATTTCACCAGATGGACACACCAAAAATCAAATCGACTTTATCTCAAGAAAATGGAGACGCAGTCTACTTAACACAAGGTCAAGAAGAGGAGCAGATGTAGGCTCAGACCGCTATCTAGTGCAAGGAACCTTCCAAATCAAGTTAAAAGCCTTCAAGGAAGCTGGTGATAGACCTCAATTCAAGTACAATACTCGGAAACTGAAGGATGAAACTACAAAGGAGATCTTCACGGCAGCCATCAAGACAAAATGGGAGATATCGAGCAACATCCCTGAAGAAACCTGTGTGGAAGAACACTGGAAGTCCTTGAAAGCTATGTGGAAAGAAACCTGCACAACAGTATTAGGAAGGAAGAAGAAAGAAGACAAGGAATGGATCTCGACAGATACCTGGAAGCTGATAGAGGAGAGGAGGATGGTGAAACAGAAGATAAACCAGTGCAAGGGTGCTCAACGACAAGAGGAACTGAGCACGATGTATAAAACACTGGACAAGGAAGTGAAGAAGAGTGCACGGAAAGACAAAAGACACTTCTACGAAACACTGGCAAGTGAAGCAGAACAGGCTGCAGGTAAGAGAGACCTGACGACATTGTATCAAATAACCAGGTTACTATCTGGGAAGAGATCAACGCAGACGAAACCAATAAAAGATGATGACGGAAATTTAATTACAAAAGAAGAGAAACAGAGGAAACGATGGGCCGACCACTTCAAGAAGCTCTTGAATCGACCACCACCAGCACCAACAACTCGTCCAGAAATACCACCTACAGCCGCTGAATTACAAGTGTACATAAATCCCCCAACGAAAATGGAAGTCGTGAACGCCATAAAGCTACTGAAATGCGGGAAAGCAGCAGGACCAGATGGAATACCGCCAGAAGCACTGAGAACAGATGCAGAGACAATAGCGGACATGCTCACACCACTATTGCACAAGGTGTGGAAGGAAGAGAAGGTACCTGCCAGTTGATTGGAAGAAGGGTTACCTTGTCAAACTGCCGAAGGGAGACTTCAGGGTTTGCAAGAACTGGCGCGGAATCACTCTCCTGTCCACCCAGAGCAAGTAAAATATTAAGCCGCATCATCCTGGAGAGGCTTAAAGACGCACTGGATTCAAAACTACGACCGGAACAGGCAGGCTTCAGGAAGTACAAATCATGTGCAGACCAAATTGCAACGCTTCGTATCATCATAGAACAGAGCATAGAATGGCAATCAGCTCTCTACCTCAACTTCATCGACTTTGAGAAGGCCTTTGACAGCGTCGACCGAGAAGTAATTTGGAAACTGCTTCAATACTACGGAGTACCGCAAACCTTTATCCGCCTCATTCAACAACTATATGAAGATGCCACATGCCAAGTAATTCACAATGGCAAGCTCAGTGATGCCTTTGCAGTGAAGTGAAGACAGGAGTGAAACAAGGTTGTTTACTATCCCCCATGATATTCCTGATTGTGGTGGACTGGATCATGCAGCAAACAGTGGGCAGCGAGAAGAGGGGGATACACTGGACGACGGAAAAGAACCTAGAAGACTTGGATTTCGCCGATGACTTGTGCCTAATGTCACATAAACTTGAAGATCTGCAGGCAAAAACTAACAAGTTGAGAGAAGAGGCAGCGAAGACGGAACTTCAGGTGAATATAGAGAAGACAGAAGTGATGAAGATACCGCACCACCAACAACAACAAACTCCAATCACCGTCAACGGAAGAAACTTAAAGGAAGTAACCTCCTTCACTTATCTAGGAAGCACTGTTTCAACTACAGGCGGGACGGACGAGGACGTCATAGTCAGAATCGGAAAAGCAAGACAGGCGTTCATTAGCCTGAAACCAGTGTGGAGATCTTCTGCACTCAGCATGCCCAACAAGATACGGATTTTCAACACCAACGTCAAGTCAGTGCTTCTGTATGGTTGAGAGACTTGGCGCGTCACGAAAGGTATTTCCAATAAACTACAGACATTCATCAACAACTGCTTACGCTGGCTCGCTACTGAAGATCAGATGGCCAGAATAAAGAATAAGCAACAAGGAACTCTGGGAACGAACCAACCAAGAACCTATCAGTCAACAAATATGCAGGAAGAAGTGGAGATGGATTGGGCATGCACTGAGAAGGCCGACTGAGGACATCACGCGTCAGGCCCTCGAGTGGAATCCCCATGGGAAGCGACGAGTTGGACGTCCGAGGGTGACATGGAGGAGGTCGTGCGAGGAGGAAATGAGAGCTTGTGGGCTGTCGTGGAACCAGGTTCAAAAGATGTCAGAGAAGGGAGTTCACTGGAGGCGTGCTACTGAAGCCCTATGTTCCACTAGGAACCCAAGGGACTAATAATAATAATAATAATAATAAAACGGGAATAAAAATTATTGCTTACCATTGGTGTTTCACAGATAAGCAAAACCATGAGAAATATGTTACCATCTTTAATATTTGACTTAAGTTGACATTAATCACTTGATACTGTCTATTATCCTAATCTAAACATTCTAGACCGAAGACAGATGGATAAATAAACGTGCTGACCGTCTGTACTAAGAGATTATCACAGTACATCCATTTCGGCGGTCGAATCACTAACCAGTGTATTTTCACTTATGAATCCCAAATAATTGTCGAGTGTTGCCTAATTCTGATAATCTTCTCGATCTCTTTCGCCTACACCAACCAACACTGCTCAATATCACTGCAGAGACTTCTAGTCCATTTAAGTTTAAAACTTATTTCGCTCTACATTATGGTGAGAGGCAGTTGGAATAGATTTCTGGAAAAAAGGTAGAAATCCATTGCATTTTTTGACCTTTGTATCCAAGTTACCAACTGTCTGTCCGGCTGTTTCGACAGAAGATTGAATATTATTGTAGGCTTCATCTGAAAGAGAATTGATGCCATGTTTATATAAATTCTAGCTATAAGCTTTCTCGCTATCGGCGTTGCCATCTTCCAGTCGAGCACTGAAAAGCTTCACTGGTGTTTGTCTCCTTATCATGGTGAGGCAGAAGTATATACTTACTCCTACTAACACGTGATAGGTTTCCAACTACATAATCCAGAAAGAACGACAATTCTCCACCAATCTCTTCAAACGATAACTAACTGCAATATGATCTATCTATGTCTACTGATGGAACGCTGAAATCAGTCACTATTTTATTTATAAACAGTGTACTGTGTTCAAAATAGTTCAGAAATCTAGTTGAAAACCTAAACATCACTCTGGTTACAATTCCATAGACCAACACTGTAATCGGTGATTTAAACTGATTTTGCTGGTGAGTTAAAAAGCATACTTCAAAGTCAACTGTAGTGTCTGATGTGACACACTAAATAAAAATTCTTCTTACCAGTTACACCTGCTACTTATGAACTTTTAGAACTATCAACTAAGACTGGATGTAAACAATGCTGAAGGCACAAATCTTATACGTCATAAATTCGAGATATATCAATAATTTATTTCCTAATGCTTATAATTAGTTATATCTTGGGTAATCTAATGTCTAAAAGTTGATATACTCTGAAATTCAGGAAATCCACAATCCACTGAAGCATAGTGTGAGTATTCTAACCTCACAGTTTCGAACATAATACGTTTAAAATACTGGAAGATTATGAGTTCGATCTGAGGTATTAACCTCCTAATTGAAATGATCTATATCTAGCGTGAACTGGAACTACCCTATTTACTGACTAATTTTTCAAGTTTTTTAGCGTCAGTAATATACAGTACATGAAGCAAATGGTAAGTGATTGAGCTGTTGAACTCAGCCAAACCTCTAAAACACAGTTTCTCCAAATGCCTTCAACAGACTATCTTCATCAGTCTCTAAAAGTGTCTGCTTTGACATGTACTTGAAAATCGATCAATGTAGTCTGGGATCAATCGAAACGTGTAGTTATATACCCTGTTCTTTCTTACCGAACAGAGTGTCTTCTGCAATCTGAAAAGTCCTGCCCAAGAGAATGTGATACTCAATCCCATGTTAGCAATGCTAGATGACACAGGGCTACATTGGGAAAAAAATAACCTTGGATGTAACAGGAAGTGGTATCATTTCATCATATCAGTAACTGTTGATCTTATGCACATAAATAAAGGTAGACATGAGGGTTAGGATCAGTGTAACGGTTTAACAGGAATATTAGATTCTGAAGGCTTTATGGCTTAAAATCTATCTCAATGGTGCAGCCGCATCCATGCGTTTTTATTCTTTACAATCACCACTTTCTCGACCCCTCTTCCCCACTCTAATAACACCTTAGCACTTGGAATAACTGTTCACTTTTCTTTTTTTTGTAGTTGCCTTGTATTTTCATTTGTTCATCTGAAATGTGACTGCTCAAGCCATTACGCAGTAGTGCCAGATCTTATATTGCTACCGAATGGCTGCAATATTAAGTTGTTTCGCAACTCACACATCATTTTCGATATACTTCACATAAATGCAATCAGCAGATAAAGCAGCTTGATTTGTCTTTTTTCCGTGTCCATAAAATAGGTAAATCACTCACCAAGTTTCACTACAGACAGTAAATTAGACAAAGAAATCAAAGAGACAATGCTATGGGATGCTATACAACTGGCACATATAACAGCAATTAGCAAGAAGAAATGTTGTGATGAAGAAAGAAGGCGCATTCGAAATCGCTTATTACATAAAAGCGGTGATAAACAGCACAGGTGAGTTGATATGATGACAAATAGTAGTGTTTTTCTTTATTGGTAAGCCGTGCTACATTATATAAAGCTACTGTGGCCGTAAAAATTCTATAGAAGAAAATAGCTTTTAATTCCATCTGAGCTTCATTGCTTAAATGTGTCCCCTACTGTATATGACATTTGCTTCTAAATCCTGGACAAATATGAAAAAGGCAAAGCAAACTGTAAAGTATGCCGTTAAGCACTATATGCATCCTATTATGAAGTGAAATCTTGTAACTGTCTCATGGATTCACTGTTTCTTTATACCAATGATTTCACTGATATTTTGAACTGGTTCCCCCTCACCATTATGTTCTTCACTCAAGATTATCAATTTTTATATTCAATCTTTAGTAGAATTTTATATATGACATAATGTAAATAAAAATATAGCGAATGTCAACTAATAAACAACAAAATTGTTCGTTTTATTTAAAATTATTTATTCGTTATTATTTATTGTTTTGTGATATCTCATCAACTGCAAATAGTTTGGCTTGAGTGAAATACAGAATCAGAAAACTTTGAGTGAAGTAAATTGACAAGATATATGGATGACAACTCAGTGATCAAATCTTTACTCGTCAACAAGTCAACAGATGTCATGATTTTAAGTTGGTACTCATTACTGACTGATTTCAGTTGAAGAACCACTAAAAAATGGGACGACTGGAAATCCGTTTCACCCTAGCATGGGACTCTTTAGCAGTACTCACCCACGACCCTGCTATGGGGTGAGACCCAAGACCTTTACGTTCTACTGCGAGTGCTTCAGCCATCTAACCATTGATTCGGAATGTGGTGGCGAGCGATATATCGTGAACTTCATCCAATGTAATCACTGAATAACTGTCATCACGTTTGACTTAGTTCACAAAACCAGTTTGACCTGTTGGCTAAATGGTAGCGTGCTCTCAGTGGAACCTGAAGATTCTGAGTTCGATCCTGGGCAAGGTATTGAGTATGCACTGCTAAGGAGCTCCATACTAGGACGAAACAGATGTCTAGCGCTCTCAGTTTTTCAGTGGTTCTGCAACTGATATCAGTTCTTGATGAATACCAACTTGCAATCAATAAATTCCCACAAACAGCCAAATTAAATTAGACTTCGTGATTATTTACTTAACGCATTCTTCTAAATTCGACGATAATCACATCTAGTTTGTATATGCATACACTATGGATAACATATTAGTTGATACTTAATTCACATACATGCAATCAACAATACAGAAGGAGTCCCATAACTCTTAAAAAAAATATGCGTGTGCTTAACAATGATATTAAGCGATGCCTGCGATATATCCGAATAGAATAAAGTTAGATACTGAAGATTATGGAGATTAGATGTTTGGAGGCCATCGCTATAAAGTTTTGGACCAAGGTTCAAGACTATTGGTAAAGCATCCAGCTCGTTGCCAAAGCATCTTATTGCTGGGTTGTTCAATCCTATATGCGCATTCGAATACCTATAAAAATTCAACTTTTTGAACTACCAGTGGATGGAATAAAAGACATTGTCCTAGTGATTATACTACTACAGAACGAAATTGAATTGTACTAACGAAACGGTACACAATTTGACTTTCATAGACGTATCAGTTTGTGAGACAAACTTTTGTCAACCCACTATTTAATTTCTTGTTGTTTGATTAGGTCGAAAATTGCATTCCATACTCTTCTACTGATTATTTGAACAGAGCAAAAACAATGATATTCACAGGATAAAACGTTCACATTTTATTTCAGCGCTTCTCATCAGCTGTAAACATGACTAACATCTGAAACGGAGAAGATTATGCATTACCGCATGTATACTGACGACAGGTTTCTTCATCGTAATGCAGCGGATGATGCATTCTGTGTAAAAAAAACTCATTCTGTCTCATGCTAACATCAGATTCACCGTGAACTATGAGCATGGTAGCCTGAATAAGACGAATAACCGAAAACATAATTGAAAAAACTACCTACGGGAGATATATATGGACCGGTTTTAGCACTTGGACCACCATACTTTTGTCTCATCAGTTACAATCACAACCTAGCCGACAAACTTTTCAGTGGAGCAACAGCGTCATGTTCAGAAGATAAGCTTGAAAAAGAATGCATCAGAATTTAAAAGACTCTCAAAAAAAGGATACCTCAGAATATTCATCATGGAAACTATAAACTTGATACTGCTTAAAAGAAACGGATTTTCATCCACCTTGTGTGCAAAGGTTGAGAGGTGTAAGCAGGAATTGAAAAGGTTTTAAAGAAACATTGGGAAATAGCTCCTTGTAACCACTTTTGTCCCACTTCACCCGACCGTTTGTTCATAAAATCAATCCAAAGTAAATAATTACCCTACACATATAAGCACCAACCTCGCCTGGTTAACTAGTTCACTAGTTACTAGCCGGTCCTAAATCCGGGTAAAGAGGGAAGGTTGGGCATTGGGCTAGCAACCTTAGCCGTAAAACCAACCCAATCCCTAAGGAAACTTCAAAGCACAAAGGAATTATAAATAATAAAAACAAACTGGTTCCTCACTGGAATCGGAGAGACGAAATGACGCCGGTTGCTCAAAGTCACCGGGAAACCAGTCGGCCGATATGTCTTCTCTCTATGAAAGTGCAAGTAAAAGTGTGGACATGGAATGTCCGCACTATGTCTGAACCTAGCAAGGCTGCCCAGATTTCAAAGGAGATGAGGACGGATAGGATGGAAGTGCTTGGAATCTGCGAAAGCAGATGGAATGGAAGTGGACTCTTCAAACTGTCAACTGGAGAGGAGTGTCAATAATCTACTCCGCTATTGTCACCCAAACGACAACCATGAGCACACTGAGTTTTGAACGGCTATCATGATGTCCCCGAGAGCATCGAAGGCTCTCAGGTAATGGAAACCAATCTCCTCCTGCAGGATCAGGATCATAGCAGCAAGGTTCAACTCAAAAGGAAGAAAGGTCACAATCATACAATGCTGCGCTACGCACCTACAAATAATGCCGATGAAGAGAAGAAGGAGGAATTCTACAGACAACTGCAATCAATACTGGACAAGACAATACCCCAGTTGGCGACATCAAAATTCTAATGGGTGGGGTGACATGAATACCAAACTGGGTGGGAATGGATAACACAGGAAGAGAACTTATCATGGGTCAAGAAGCACTCGGTGAAGTGATGGACGAGAATGGAGAACTGTTTGCAAATTCCTGCGCATCCAACAATTTGGTGATTGGAGGTGAGGCAGTGTGTTCAAGCACAAGGATATCCACAAAGCGACATGGATTTCACCAGGTGGATATACTACACTAACAATCAGATCAACTTCATCTGAATGTGAAGAAAGTGGGGATGCAGTCAGCCTACTGGACACAAGATCAGATAAAGAGGGGGAGCAGATGTAGGTTCACACCACTCACTTCACTATCTAGTGCAAAGAACCTTCAAAATCAAGTTGAATGCCTTCGATTGAAGGAAGTTGGTGATAGATTACAGTTGAAGTTGAACACCTGGAAACTGAAGGACGAATCTACAAAGGACATCTTAACGTCAGTCAGTTATCAGGAAAGGATGGAGGACATGGAGAAACATCCCTGAAGGGATTTGAATGGATGAACACTGGAACTCTGTGAAAGCTATGTGGGAAGAAACCTGCATAATCGTATTAGGAGAGTAGAAGAAAGAAGATGAGGAATGGATCTCGATAGACACATGGAAGCTGATAGAGGAGGGAGAGGAAGATGGTGATGGTGAAGTAGAAGATAAACCAGTGCAAAGATGAACGACGAGAAGAGGAACTGAGTACAACGTATAAAACACTACACTGGACAAAGAAGTGAGGAAGGGTGCGCGCAAAGATAGGAGACACTTCTACGAAACACTGGCAAGTGAAGTATAACAGGCTGCAGGTAGGAGAGACAGAGACCTGACAACATTGTATCAAATAACCAGGTTACTATCTGGGAGGGAAGAGATCAACGTAGATGAAACCAATGAAAGATAGTGAAGGAAAGCTAGTTACCAAAGAGGAGAAACAAAGGAGAGGATGGGCTGACCACTTCCAAAACTCTTGAGTCGACCACCATCACCACCTGCAACTCGTTCAGAGATGCAGAACTACCAGTGAACACATGCTGTATGGCAAAAGCAGAAGTCCTGAATGCGATAAAGTTGCTGAATATCTGGAAAGCGGCAGAACCAGATGGACTGGGCATACACTGAGAAGGCCAATCTGGGACATCACACGCCAGGCCCTCGAGTAGAATCCAGAAGGGAAACGACGAGTTGGGCTTCCGAGGCGAGGGTGACATGGAGGAGGTGATGTGGAGAAGAAATGAAAGGTTGTGGGCAGTCATGAAGCGATGTTGGAAAGATTACAGAGAAGAGAGAGCAATTGAGGCGTGCTACTGAAGCCCTGCGTCCCACTAGGAACCCAAGGGAAAATAATAATATAAGCACCAATCGCATTTGCAAACATATATTCACTGTCGGCAGCAAGTACATGGGAAGGAGTGAGGGAAGAACAATTACAAGATTTTCTGAAACATACCCCTAAACGTTTATGCCTCAAAGGAGAGAACAGTTTCAAAGTGCAACTGTCAGACAACTTACGGATATAGTAGATGCAGCTGAGGTGAATCATATCTTCAAAACTATCATTATACAGTAAAAAAGCAACTTCAGTTAACCGATCATGACCTAACTTTATGTATAGAAAGATGGTATGATTAACTTGTATTGCCCCGATAACATTTGCTTTACTTCGTCACGTAAACCTAATAATCTTCACTGATTTATTTGTCAACATTCTTAACTTTTCAAATTAGGAGTTTGTTACCCAACTTTTTTCTTCCTCGCTGACTTCAGCACCCCTTAATATACAATATACGTTTGACTAAAACTCGGTAACAATGGCGTAGATGTATTCACTCCCTGACGTCTTCTAAACCCTGAGTGTTTCCTATGACTATTGTCTTCAAAGTGTTTATTCTCTCGCATAACTTTATCTACTTTGATATCTGTCTCTTTCTATTTATCTGTTCTTCGTGTACTACTGTGAAGTTTGGCAGCTTGAGATGATCCACCTGTGTTCAAGGTTCTATGTTGATTTTTAGTCAGTCAGTCATACTTAGATAAACCCTCTTTTGATTATTATTAGTATTACTATTACTATACTTCTACCTCTTCTCTGTATTTCCACTGATCTGTTGATGCACTGTGAATTTTGAACCTGCTCTCTGTTAAATATGATAAACTTTGTGATTTTAAGCTGTCTGCAGCTTATGAGAGTCTCTGAAACAGTGTACACACCTTTTGATACTGCAAATGTATGTTTTACTTGGTTCACTTTTATCAAGGAAACCAGACGTGTTTCACTTTTATCAACCAAATATTAGAATTAGCAGAACACTCAGTAAGTGGTACGCCAACCATAATTATTTTAAAATACGAAGTATACATTTATTCCCTTTGATGAACATTTGATTTACTTTAATGTCATCTGTAATCCACACAGGTATTCAATTGAAAAGGATATGGAACGATATCAAGCAATAAGTGAAAAGTATGAAAGTACTCATCTGGGTAATTTTCGTTTAATTTATCCATCATCTGATATGGAGAAATATTCACCATTTCTTAATCCAACTTCTACGTTTTATCAAGAAACAGTAACATATAAAGTCAGAAGTGAATGTGCAAGGTAAGATACTGTTTGCTACAACTGTATGGGTATAAACTCTAGTTCGCTTTATGTACGTGACGTAAACTTGAAATTATTCAGAATAGACAATACATACTAATGTGACTCGTTTTAAGCTGTTTATTTGTTGACATTAGACACAGCTTGCACGTAGATAAAGAATATCGAACCGGACTTTGGTGTGAAACTTTGGGGATGTTACATTTCAAACACGCTGTGACTTCCATAAATACAAGCTATACCTAACGTCAATCCGTTACTCTGAGTCCAATATTTGCGATACTATTCGGTTAGATCTTGATCATAGTTCAGTTAAATTACTTTGATATAGTACTAAATTATCATAGGAACTGTATAGCTGTTTATTATTAGTGATAAAAATTCTCACCATCAAAATTAGAAGACATTATTGCCCTGATATACGATATGAAAAAAATAGTGTTTGAGAACTGTCGGTGATGTGGCTGAAAATGAGTCAATATGTCGCAGAAGTATTCACGCCCTGGGGTCTCTTAAACCTTGAATATTTGCTCCAACCGCTATCTTCAGACTGCTTATTATGTCGCAAAACTTTGTCTACATCGATATCACTCTTTTCCTATCCACCTGTTTCTTGTGTACTACTGTGAAGTATGGCAATTTGAGGCGTTACAGCTGTGTTCGAGGTTCTACATTGATTTATCAGAGTCAGTCAAAATCTTTTAACAACAATAAAATAAACATTAGAAGAAGACATATAAGCTAACAATATTGTTTTCAATTAGCTCTCATCACGCTTCACACTAATATCCATAAATTTTCTCACATTTGAAACATTAAACCAATCATGGTGGATTCTTTAGTCTATGGTAACTACGAGATGAAGCATGCAAATAGTAGATATCTAGATAATAATAATAATAATAATAATAATAATAATAATAATAATAATAATAATAATAATAGCAGCAACAATAATTGTCTCAGTGATGGTGAGAATAATGAGAACACCATGGTACTGAAAACATTTAGACATTCAATATAGGTCAAAACTTAGAAAAATAAAAGTCACGTAATACTTAAGGATGAAATATGTAGATAATCAAAGTCCAAGCAAATAAACATGAGTGTAAAGGGGTGAAGAAAGGGAAAGAGGATGAAAATTGGGTTCATCTTTGAAGTTATTTTTAGGCTTTCTCTGGCCAAGGCAGAGATAGAAGCTGCACAAACTTTGTCTGCATACAAAGACTAGGTTTGATTTCTCTAATCCCCATAGCATCAACTATATGTAAAATGCAAATGCGAAATCCATTCGAAAGATTTTGTGGAATGTGATCTACGACTTTGAACGATTTGGCTTTATCTCTTTCATAAACACTATTGACCAAATGCTACAAAAATGAACTTCGTATTGACTTTATTTGTCCCTTTCATAGCCATGACGGTATTTGATCAACAGAAGCCAAGTAATAGACGCAACCAAAATCGTTCAAAGTCGTAGATCACATTCCACAAAATCTTTCGAATGGAATTCGCACTCGCATTTTACATATAGTTGATGCTATGGGGATTAGAGAAATCAAACCTAGTCTTTGTATGCAGACAAAGTTTGTGCAGCTTCTATCTCTGCCTTGGCCAGAGAAAGCCTAAAAATAACTTCAAAGATGAACCCAATTTTCATCCTCTTTCCCTTTCTTAACCCTTTTACACGTATGTTTATTTGTTTGGACGCTACCCAAACGATCACATCATAACATAAAGTGCAAAAGCCGGAAACATAACCAGTGATGATTATTAAGAGAAAGATTCGGGAATAAAGAAGATACAATAGGTAGTAATAATATGAGGGGAAGGATTTTTTCACACCGACATATCAAAAGGAAATGCTTGCGAATAAAACTTTCTTGTAACACTCGACCATTCTAAGAAGAACCCTGTCGGTGAAGTAGCGTGGCATAACTGAAAGATGTCAGATGGGCGTACCAATGACTGATCCGATGGAAACGACTGATGGCTTCGTTTGACAGCCCAGAGGATATATCCCAAGCCATCTATGAGTTCAGATGTAAGAGGCTGGAAGAGAAAAAAGGCTCACTACAGTTGGGGATGAAAATTAATGGTCTTCTACGTTGTACGTCAACCAGTATGAATGAAGAGTCACGAGAACAACTAATTGCAAAGTAGTTTGTAGGGAGAATGCTAGTCTAAAGTGGTCAACAGCAACTGGATTCATGAGTGTTGGAAAGTTGGTGATGTGTTTCTGATAGTTGGCAGACGTAATAGCGGCATCCGTAGATTCGGAAAAAGTGAATTTGTTGAGGAAGAAAAAAGAGGACTTACAATAGAAGATAGCAGCTGCTCGCATGAACTTTGACAGTAGCGACACGTGTTTTCTCTGTGAATGGACGGAGCATTGGCGTAGGAACAATCCTGAATTGCATAAATATGGAAACTACTGAAAACAGTTTCACTTCCCCTACCCTCCCAAATTTTTTCTGGTTGGTTATTGTCATTTCTTTTGTTTACCGATGTTCCACTATACACTGGTGCTATACATTCTTATAAGTGGCGTTCAACATATACATTGAAACTCGAATTCTATTGGCTATAACAGTATAAAAAGCCTCCCCTAGATAATTTCTCTATGTAACTGTAAAGCGTAGCGATAAGATAGTGAAAATATATTTTGCCTAAACTGTCTTTTTTGACACAATAAAAGTCTAGCTGGAGTACTTTTATAAAATCACAACACGATGGAGAAGTTCTCACATTATCTTACAAAACTACGCAAATGTTTGTGTAGTTTTGAATTTGCAATACTATCATCTTACTATCTAACATAAAATCCTACTTAAAATCGGTTTGACTTGGCAGTTAAGTTTACAGAAAGTGATGTCGGACAAAATAATCGTTACAAGCTTCAGTTTTGATATTTGTGATGATGAGAAGCTCCTATTGCGTTTTAAGAACTGACGGTTTGTTTAGATGAATCAGTAAAATGGTAGCTAGTAAAAGCCTACTCTCACGAACATTTTAGTAGTCTGTGAAAAACATCATAGTTCACAATTCCTATGCAAAAGAAGTAAACCTTATAGACACAACTAAAGTTAATTAAAAAACTGAATAATGGAATAAATATTTTTTAAATATAACTAATTACTGTAAGTGAAAAAAAAACGTTTCGTTATTACATCCGGTTTAAAACATCGGTGAAATGTGAGTTAACCTCTGAGGATACTTAACATTCAGTTATTACGTAGTGTTTTACACAAGGAAACTAAGTCAACTAGTAATTTTTAGAGGTTGCATTAAGTAGTGCCAGGTAAGCATATAAGAAACACACTAAACAGTCGCCTACATGATGTTTACTAGAGTATAATAGGGTTGAAATAGACCCAAGAATGTCTTATACAAAATGTAGTCACTAAAGCTACTTACCGCCAAATTAAGATAATCTAGACGGTTACATGTTTCATCTTTTAAATCATTTGGAAGTCAGCGCTAGACAACTCTGAGTGAAATACTTCGAAATCTTTCTCAATGTGAGATGAATATTTACTTCCTTTTATTCCTCATCAAATAATGAGAATTTTAAAATATGATCTATTCTCTTACATCCTGTTTCTTATCCAAAGTAATAAAATCCTATGCATGTTAACTTCATTTATTTTCTGTACTAGTGTGATGTATGGTAATGTGAATCACTGGACCTATGTCCTATTAATAAAAACATAGACTACTTGATAACTCTATTTACTGAGGTCGTATCCATATTATTTTAGGTGAAGACAAGCAACCACGACACATAGGTGGAGTACGTCACGGAAACTAACTGCAGACATTTGATATCGAAGAGATTTGAGTCATATCTCAACCCTACTCAACATTCATTTCACTCCACTACACTATCTTCCAGTATGTTCCAAAGCAATCTATTGAGGAGGTGAATAACCTACCTTCCCTATTAGCAAGAAAATGTGGTCTTAAAAATTGCTTTCACCATTATTATGACAACTCTCACGAACAACTTTATGAGGAGCATTGAAACCAGTAATGAACATGCGCAGCGTGAAATGTGGGTTTGGTTGGAAGTGTTCTCACAGTTACCACTGTTCAAATAAGATCCTCACATTTAGAAGAGACTAAAACATTTAACAACCTTATCACTCCTATCTCATTGTTACTGATGCATATTTTTTCTCTCTGAGAACGATGCTCCAAAGATCAGTGCTCAGCATTCCAGTTCATTTGATTTTCTACTAATATCTACCACTGATTAGTTGTATATACATCCTTTACACTTAGACTTGGTATTCATCACATTCATCATCATCATTTGCCGAACCACTGAAAACCTGAGAGCACTGGACATCCACTTCTTCTTAGTTTGTGACTCCTCAGCATTGCTTGCACATGACCGCGTCAGGGATTGAATCCAGAATCCTCACATTCTGTGATGAGCACCTTACCAGGAGGCCACTGGTGGGGTCATGGGTGTGTACTGCTAGAGAGTCTCATATCAGGATGAAACACCTGCCTAGTGCTACCACCCAGCCAGCATTTACTTCAAGCGCGCTTTTTGACTTTTTGGTAAGAACCCGAAAATTCTACTTCGGGTGCCGATAGGGCGATGAACAATATTTCCCGGATGTTCTAAGCCTTTTACCCGAAAATGTCAAAAGTTCCAAAGTTCACTAGAAGTTTTTTCCCGAAATTATCAAAAGTTCCGAAGTTCATCAGGAGTTTTTTCACGAAAGTGGCAAAAGTTCCGAAGTGCGCCCAAAATTTTTAACCAAAAGTGTCAAAAGGTCCTAAGTGCGCCCTAAGTTCTTCCCCGAAATTAACAAATGTTTCAAAGTGCACCCAAATTCTTACTTGAAAGTGTCAAAAGCTCTTAAGTGCGCCCGAAGTGTTTCCTATTTACCAAAACCCATGTACAGCACGTAAATATAAAAATAATTTTATTTTATAACAATGAAGGTACATAACATTCTGTTCATCTTCATTACATTTTGTTGACGCTCTCCGGCGAACTGGGTAGACAAATATAGGGACCACCTCCTCACCTCCAGACAATTCAGAAACCTATGAGAATTGTATTATGGAACACATAAAGCTTACCATTTTCCTCTATTTGGCCTTTTCTCCCTCATTTTCAATCTCTCACGACCGTTGTGAAACAATCTCTATATATAAGTCCTGGTTTTTTCCGCAGTCACTTCTTGGTCGTCGCTGCCATGTCTGTGGATGTTAAAAAGGACGTCTGTGTACGTGATAAAATGAAAACGGGAACTAACTGATAACCAGTTTTAACATTAGCGTTAACCTGAAGGGACGTTTGTCTTCCATCGAAGACCACCAGGATAACATGCTGAACTTGGTTCCAGTAGCGTATCCACCATGCGACTTACTGATCCCACAAGGCAAGACAACTCATGTACTGCAGTTGTGCGATATTCGGGGTCAGTCATGTCACATTCAAACTCTCGCATTCTCTGATCACTATCAATGAGCCATTTCCCGGAGGCTGCAGGTTTTCGGTGGTTCTGTAACCTATGTCAGTTTTTGATTACTACCAAACTGAAATCAGTAAATCTCTACTCCGTCACTATCTTTAAATATTTTACTATTAATGAAAATCAATTTAGTCGGTTAAGCGATAGGTCATTTATTCAGTGCTTTATTTGCGTTTTACCTTGTTGCACTTCATACAAAATAATCCTTTCTTTTAGACAACTCAGAGAGGAAATTCGATTAAAACACGAAAAACTAGATATGATTGCTAATCAACACAAACCTAGTCAGTCTGAAAGTCCAGCTCCTAAAAGATTAAAAATTAAAATAAATACTGCAATATCCCAACTAATGAAACCAAATGATAATAGTTATGATGTAATCAATGATTCTGATCAGCTGATACCTGTAAATCAAAGTCAATTTATCACTAGTCAAAGTGATATAGGAAAGAAAATGCTGCATGGACAACAAATAAACGAACAACAACAATATCCCCAAAAACTTGATGAAGGCCTAAAAATTCCTACAAAACATAATGATCACCATGTATTGCCTGAAGCTTTGATCAACAATGAAGCTATGTATATAGATACTAAACTTCCTCAACCAATACTTGATCATGAAGAAGTTGAACGTATAAATGAGTTGAAAAGACGTGAAAGTCAAATGCATAAAATCGGCTTGATATCAATGCTTCATGGAGTATTTGCACAACATAATTCAAACATAGGCAATCAAATAATCAAGAGGATGGAAAAATTCAATAGTATTGAAAAAGGTTTTAAAGAATATCAATTAAGTCAACAAAAATTAGGTATGTTTCAAAATTTCCGTCACACTTTTTGTTTGCTTTACTTCATTAGCGGTTTTCTTTTACTTGTTCAGAAGTTCATTGATCATTTAACAGTCCATTTTAGGTTTTTTACAACATACATTTATTTCAAATTTTTCTCGCCAAAGTAAGCAAATATTTTATGCCGATCAAACACAACATCATTTTTAGCAAGAAATACACTAATCTTGTGAACTGTGGCTTATTAGTTTAGGCAGTTTACTTTTAACAAGCCACATGTTCAAAAACTGCTCCATCCACCAAGGTTTGGGCTACTAAGTAGTATCGTTTAATACTAATAAAATAAGTATGGTTTTTTTGCCTACTACATGAACGTGTACAAGGTTGTGAGTTCATTTCGAATTTGGTTTTTTACATTTACCTTCAAAACTACAAAATTTGAAGTGAAACTAACAATCGTTAACAGTCAGCTACTCCTTCGGACTGAAATGTTATTCAATGTTATTCAAAATAATTTTCGAACTGAACAGTAGGTATTACCAACTGTTTCCACCGACTAACCTTTTAATATCTCAAGGTTAAGGTTGGTATCATAGTTAGGGTAACCTGATTATTTATGAGTTATAAGATTGAATTAGCTTTTGTGCTTAAAATATTAATAGAGTAGTTGATATTTCATCGTTCGTATTTACCAGAGGAATCACACGAATGTCTTTCGATAAGTTACTGTGCTTGAATGCAGTAAAACTAACTTATTTATCCTGTAAATTTGACTAATTATGACTGACTGAGTTGGTACATATAAAAATACATTCTCGTGATCATAGGTGACTTTTTGGCATTGCTTGCATATGGTGAAACTTCAGTGAACGGCATCAAGCTTGGACACAGAGTGTTGGACAAAAAACATCGTATCAGTTGATGAAGTCGCGAAATTAAGCTGACTTAGATAGCTTGGATATATATTATGCATGACAATTCACCATCTTTCTGAATCACTGGTCTTTTCTAATGTGGAACTGAATGGAAGAAAAGCTAAAGTTAACAAGATCGAAACGTTCCAAAGACTATTCAAGACTCTAATTATTAGACTGAGATATGTAGACTGCCTAAGTGATGACCTTGATACTATAGGAATCAGTGACTGAAGATTCACAGTCAACTTGCTTTAAGTTTAACACAGCAGTGAAGATATATTCACACTTTATGATCCAAGTATTTCTTTTAAAGCTTTTTTACCTCTCGTATAATCATCTTTATTACTATTATGTCATTCTTCTTCAGTTCGCCTTTTGTTTGTGCGCAATCAAAAACTTTGACAACATAAACTCATGCTCTTGTTTACAAATTTATAGGCTAATTCCTTTCTATACAAATGAGAAATTAGCCTAAATCATCAAGATGAACCTATTCAATCATATAGACATGCATAAATTTTGCCATAACACTTTCTTAAAAATATTTTTAGATGAGAAAGAACGGTTTTCAAATGTTTTAAAGCCAACAATATCATGGCAAAATCGAGCACAACGACTAACAAGACAAAGAGTATGGATGAAGAATCAAGAGAATGACAACTCAATACAAGTAAACATTGTTACCTGTTTTATATTTACTCTAAGACACTGATTTCTAGTGATTTTCTCATTGGATTTGATAAATGCCAAGTATAAGCTGTATGTATAACTTAATTTGAAAGGACATTTTACTCATTTCATTATAGACTAAACAGTGAACTTTTAATATTACACTATAGTTATTTTTCATTATTTGATATAGCAAAACACACTACTGAACAGGTTGAATAATTATAAGCTAATCAGACTGACCTGTGGATGTCATCAGCCAGATAAGTAATTGAAACATCGAACCACCGTTTCGCTGGTTTTTGGTAGAGCTCACTAGCGGTGTGCCGGGAGAAATTCAGCTCACCCAACCGAAATCCCTTCATATTACCTAAATCTGACAAGTTGATTTGCATGAACTGGTATACCTAAAATAGGATGGTAATTTAGCAAATGGTTTACAAATTGCAAGGTCCATTTTAACATTTCGCACAAATTGAGTGGTTTCAAACTACTCAAGTTGTTCAGTAGTATATTTCGCTAATGCCTGACACTTTCGTATGAGAGGTATCACCTTGTGCTTTTAATCAAGTGGTTTTCAATGGAAATTCAGTTGACACTACATTTTGGCTGCTGAAAAACTACTCAATTGTACGAAATGTCACTGTCGACCGTGTGATTCGTAAGTCTTTGGAGGTTGTTCATCATAATAATTATTCTGTCTCATAGTATGAACGGATATAGGCTTTAGAAAAAACCAATATATATTTTATTACTGGTTTCATGAGAGGACTTCTACGGACCACCAAGTGTAAAGTGCTCAGAACGTATGACTAATCATGATGAGGTTTCGAGACTGTTAAGAAATAGAATGGAGATAAAAATTGTAACCCACACCAAACCACTACTTATCTTATGCAATACTACCTGAACTGAAAATATAATGCAGAAGAGCTGACTTTAACTAAAACAAAATACTAAACTAGTTCATCATGTCTTTAACAGGTAGTTGGAGTTTTCAGAATAGCAAAATTTCGTATTTTAAGAACATAGGTTGTATGGCGAAAACAGGTTTTTTGATATTATCTTAACTAGTGTTGTGCTACGCAATTAGGTGTTTGCCGCTACTGTTAATAATCTTTTTGTTACCTTCGTTTTCTACACTTTCCAAATTGATTCTGGTGCATAACTCTCTTATCAACACTTCATACTGTTTGATGCTGACTTTCATTCGACTCACATTTCATACTGCTGGGAACAAGTCAACTGAAGGTACCAAAATCTTGTCTAATGAAACTGGAATTTAGCACTAGTAACTTCAGATGTCACAGTACTCTTAATCATGCTACTGAGTCATGATAGAGGCATTATGTAACCCATATTATTAGTTATTTTACCTGCAAATCACATTAGAATGAAACTCATCGAAATATTGAGACATATGTCTAAATATGCCAACAACAGCCAATTATTTCCACCCTAAAAACTGAAAAAGAAGTAAATATAGATTTTTCGTTATTTTCAAGGAATACATAAAGTTAGAGAACCTCCATAACATCAGTATTATCAAATAAAATCATGTACTATGAAAGGAAAAACTCAACCTGACCAGAACTAACAAAAAATCCATGTTCAGCCTGATCCATGGTTTGTTCCTACTGACAAGCAATGTAATAACTATTTGTGATGAATTTTATTAGCTCATCCATTATGAAATTATTTAGGCTTGTTTCTACTACTTACAAGTAACATAGCTTAGATAGTAATATTTAGTTATTGGTTAACTTGTCAAGTCAACAAGACCCATTCAGTTGATTTCAATGATTTTCCTTTCTCAGACGATGAAACAGCCTTCAATTGTTTAGATCAGCTCAACATAATCTGTAGATTAGCCTACATGGTTCCTAACTGCTCACGTTGATCATAAGAATATTCAATGATTAATAACTTCCACTACTTTTCAGGTCAAGTCAGAGAATACCTTGGATACTTGTCAAACTGCAATAGTATGGGATAACCCAAAAAGTGTGGACAATTGGGATAATAGGAACACACAATCTGTCGGGATAGTCACGAATCAGTGTACTGATAATTATTCTATGCAAACAACAAATGGAAATCATTTCATTAATTCAGCCCAACCAATAATCAGTAATTCAATTTTTGGTCCATTGCCTTGCCATCAATCTCAAAAGATACAGCAACAAAAATATCAACAATCTAATCGTGCACTCACCGGAAATATTCAACATTCAGGAGTATATACAAATGTTTCTTCATTAATAAACCATATGAGTAGCCAAATAAATCAAAACCTTCCATTACCCACTGATCGTATATCATCATATCAGTACTGTATTGATCCAGTAGTTATGGGTGTAAGAAGCTATCAAGCTAATAAAAACTCATCTTCTGAAACTATATACAATTCAGCTAGCACAGTTTTACGAATAAATGCAAATAGTGGTTTTCTGCCTTCAAGAAATATTCGATCACATTCAGCATTAAAATCAAAATACACATTCACAGACTTGACAAACTGTAATAATAATAGTAATAATAACAGTTTTATCTCTTCACACAACACATCAAGACAGTCTAGTCACAATTCATCATCTAAGGGTAAGTTTCATCTTCATAAATTAAAAAACTTCTATTGATTATAAGTGAAAATAAAAGATAAGTGAGTATAACCCTATTAAAACTGGTTCCGTCAAGTTAGTTTTCCTATTCCCATGTCAACTTGAACAACACTGAAGTTAAATTCACTTCCTTATGCCTTGAATTATAAACAGTCGCATTCAGTAGTACGTGTACAATACTTAAAATACCATTGTGGATTACAGATTTTTCAAAAAATCCCAATCGAAAATTATGTTACAATTCTGCATGTATCTGAAAAGTAATCACCGATCCCTTAGTATTATACTTCAAACAGATAGATTACACAACATATTCCTTTAGTCTTTAAATAAATAAGAGAGCTGATGATTTTAATCATGACTACATAAAGGTGCTGCGGACTACTGATGGACCAGAATCCCTAAAAACACATGTTTTCTATACACAAAGCATCCGGGAAGTAAACCATTCAGTATTACAGCGCATGAAATAATATCCCTACGTGATTTCCAACAAAACCTTTTTAGACTTCCACTGAAAGCAAAACACGCAGATATAGCTGTTGCAGTGCCTTATTTTAGTGCACAAGTGGTTAGGCTAGTCCAATTGGAAAGGCGAATGAGTGACACTTTCGAAATCCCAGCCAAACGAACAGACAGCTGCGTTCGTCTACTAAAACTGTACTCAAACATCAGTATAACAGGAACTCTAAGCATAAACAGACTGTTCGACGTAATATTCACTTACCTTGACTCTACAATGATCACAAATAGACCATATTACTATTAGTTATAGCTGGATACAGTCAGTGGGAAATTGCAGCCGCTCATGGAAAAGATGTTTAGAAAGCGGTCGCACGTATCTACACCAAAATGGACGAAGAAAAACTAGACCTACTAAACTATTCTGAGCTCAGCTCAATAGTGAGAATACTAACGCTGCTTTTAGTGAGAAACTGGCTAAACAGTTATTGCAACAGAATGTCGCTCGTCATAAAGAAGCTTGGTGTCATTCCCAGTCTGCTGTGAAAACATCATCAAAGATTGGAAATGACTTTCAAAAGAAAATTCAAAGGGGTCAGTGAGTCTCAGCAGCGTCATCTGAATTAATGGATGTGCCTAAATGCATTGCTGCTGACTCCAAACAGAATGAGGAATGGAAGAAGCTTATATGTAGGCTCGCTAGAAGTCTATACAATAAGTGCAAGCAGTGGTAGGTAGTAAAAGCAAAAGAAATGAAAAAGCCACGACGATAGACAACAGTAGACGGTTATCTAGACTCACCAAGAAAAAGTGGGGAAAAGATGTCGATGGTTAGTTAGAATATGGAAGAAAAGTATGGGTCTATCATTTACTCCCAGAAGGGACACCTACAACGATGGGTGGAATACTTCGAGAAACAGTTCAACTGAACCCTAGTCACGCTTTATTTGCTCCCTGTTCGGTGGTAGTGTTAACGGAACATTGAAATAGTCCCTTCAAATCTTTTCAGAAGTTGAGGATGTTAAAAATCTAGAATAGAGTAGGGCAAAAAGGCCGGTTGAGATAGTACTGAAGGTCTTTATGGATAGTGTTTGCTAGCGTATAGGAATCAGATATGATCCTATCTGACTAGGCCGAACGACTGGTTGTCCCAGTTGTCAAAATAGGTGGTAAGTCCTCACGTGATAATCAAAAAGAAATCTGTCTGAAGAAGTTTTTCTAAGATCCTAGTTCCTACTGATCAAGAGGTTTTACGGCCATGTCCTTCAATAAAAGGGGTGATGAGTACATACATCATTCTGTTGATGACCATGTTTTCAAACATCCATAGGCGTGTCAGAGTTCCTGGTGAGTTATCAGGTGAGTTCTGGTGTCCTTCAATGATATCCACTCTCTTCATTCCCATTTAATTATCATATGGGACCTTATGGATTTTCCCCTCTCCCCATATGACTTTACAGAGATCGATCTCTTAGCAGGAAACAACTCAGTAGACTAAGAGTACTTAGATGACATAAGCCTGTAAGGCGAAGACGCTGGAAAAATGCAGTCTACTGGAAACGTGCAGTGGCAATTAGAGAATGTTTGCGATGTATTTTTAACCACCCAGATGCAAAATGCTGTTCTAAGAGTGGTCTTCACTGATCTATTGTTTAGCAGCAGGGATTAAAGCTACTGAGCGCGTTAATCACCCTATCTACCTGGGAAGTCAGATCAGCCCTGGTGGGCGACCAATCGCTGATACGTCTGCACGGTTGCAAAAAGGCTCGAATGGCTTTCGCCAGTTTATGCCATTTATGGTGCCGCCGTGATATTCCATTGCTTAATAAGGATTGAGTTTACTAAGCTTCAGTTCTCTCTGTTCAACTATATGGCTGGAGAATGTAGCCACTAAAATAACAGGACATAAGAGGGCTTCAAGTGGTCAAGCACCATTGCCTTCTTAGCATATGCTGTATCCTGGTATCACCATGTCAGTAGCATAGAAGCCATGTGTAGAGTTTTAAGGAGGAGAGGATAGTTAGTTGACGAGGTTATGAACCTTAATTGAATCAAGTGTGTTACGTGCACCAGGTCATCGACTACCTCGTCGCGCGATGTAAGTCTAGGACAAGAAAATGTTAGCCTGGGCCAGACTAAAATATGGCATTAATCCATGAAGTATTTGACTGTTGGAGTGCGCGTGATAACTAAATATGTGATTAGGGACCGTCGGTGATACGGCTCAGAATCGCTCTCAGTGGAGGAAATATATCGAAACACCACCTTAATCTTTATCATCGAACTAAACTTCAGTATTCTTTTGTTCCTTCTTACTCTCTTTTGATGGCTTTCCACGACTTTTGACTGCTTTCTCACTTATTTCTTTATCTTTCTTTTCAATGTATTTTCGCTTGATATGCTAATAAAAGGTGTGGCAACTTGGAGCGTTAGACAGTAGTCCCAGATTCCACATCGACAGTGACTGACTGATCGAACTTGTGGTCGTTATTCAGCCTCTTTGTGTTTACTATGATTCTATGGTTCAGTATGTTTGCAGCGATAAACTTCATGAATATGAAGGATATAAAACTAATAACTACCTTTGTGTGTTTGAATGTGTCTTGCTGGTGGGTAGCAATATGAATAAAATCCAAGCCCATAGCTGCCTGAAGACGACTGCTTATAATACGCCACAAAGCATACTGTACTGAGATACTGAACTCTACAGTTTAGATTTCTTTATCAACAGATTTCCGTATGTATCAGATGTTGTTACAACACAAATAAAAGTTTTTTTTACAGAATATAAATAATTCATCCCAGTAGTTATTTACTATCTTTTGTGTACATTTAATAAACTAACAAAAAATAAACTATTTTCGTCTTGTTTACTTGCTACAGATCCAAAAACAGTACAAAATGGCATAATCCCATTGCCTACACTAGCTAACAACAACATAATAACATGTCGTAATGCTAACAATAGCCCACAGTTAATCACCAATGCCCTAATACCTGCTGTTACCTCAGTCAAATTAAATCGCGTAACCAGACGAAGTGCAAACCAATAATATCGTTGAACAGTTCTCGATGCATGATCTACATTACAAAATACATACGAACTGGTCATCTCATGATTCCCGATCGGATAGAAGTGTAAATGTAACTAATTTATCTGAAACAAATCTTCAATATATTCAAAGTAAAACAGGTGATAACGAAGCAACTGATTTCAAACCGATCGGATTCACTGTGTCAGGAAGTTCATTCATCAGAAATTCAATGAATTTACACGGCACTCCTTTTAACTTCAAGCTGATTATACCCTCTGAATACATTATTCTTTGTATAGCAAAAATTACTACTACACGTTTTGTCATTTAATTTCAGTTTAAAAGTTTTCTGACTATTTAATGCTTCTATTCACTTGATCTTGGCGGCTTTGATTTAGCAAAACAAGAATACTGACCTCACTAATTTAAACACTGGCGACAAATATTCCAATATATATATATATATATATATATATATATATATATATATATATATATATATATATATATATATCATGTATCCCAGCTGCTGAGTGCAGCCTTACTGCTACAACCACATTGAACATTGATCAACATCAAACATCTTTGGCGAAGTGTAAATGAGCTTTAGCATAAATTAATAAAACACGAATAATGGAAATGTAAATATTGTAATTTCACATCATATAAACGAAGAGATCACGGTATATCAACAATAAAAGTACGTGTTAAAATTGACTAATTTCCTTTAAGAATCATTTTATCTATCTGCTTATTTTCATCATACATACATTGCATGCACTTAATATAAGAATGTATGTTTGTTTCGAAAACCCATGAGCCAAATAGATGACGTGGGTCCTTAACGGTACAAAAGTACCTTAGTTTTATTATCGGAAATGATTGTAGTTTATACAACTATCTTGAGTTCGGAGACACACTGCTAAGAGTAGACAGTTGTTACAATGGGAGAAACAGACTGAATATAGTTTTTGATAAGTTTTCTGTCACACAGGGACACTAGTCTGTTTATTAAAAATCTCACACAATGAAACAGCATCATTTACTGGACAGCGCTTCAAAAGTAATTTAGTGTAATGTTCAGCAAGACGTTTTCGGAGGACCGGCTTACAACATCCAATATCGTCAGCTTCACAGAAGCACGGGAATTTGCAGATACACATAGATGTGGACATAAGTGGTAGTCTATCAACGTTCCACTTTCTAGACGTACTATTAAAGAGAAGGGATGATGGCTGGATTCAAAGGTCAGCCTATCGAAAACCAACCTAGACCGGCCAGTTCACTAACTTTAATAGTTGGATACCTCTTAGTTGTAAAAGAAATCTCATTCACTCTTGATGTTCCAGGATCTATAAAATATGTTAAGAAGACAAGGTGGATGCTGAAATCGAAACTCTGAGAACAACACTATCGAATAACAGATACCCGAAAAATTCATTGATAAGAATCTGAAGAAAAAAATTACTCCTCATTCTATTACAGTTCCTAAGAAAATCTTAACCATGAATCTGGAATTCAAAGGACTCGCCACAGTCGAAGTGCTGAAAAACGGTCTGTTAAGGTGTATCAATAGTAGCTTTTATGCTGCTAGACTGGGACTGATACTCTCCAGCCACAGTTTGATTCGACAGTGCGCGAAGGATAGGCTACCACTTATGTCCACATCAATGTGTATCTGCAAATTCATATGCTCCTGTGGGGCTGACTATATTGGACTTTGTAAGCGGACCCTCCGAAAAAGTCCTGCTGAACACGACCCGGTTTTACTTACCAAAGGCGAGCGAAAGAAAACGAGTTCATCCATAATTTATTGTCCATATTCATATCACATAACTCCACATAAAGCTGATACACACAATCACACAATAAGATGCGATAGGGCGACAGTATTATAAACTAACTCAGTTGGGTGGAGGGAGAGATTGATAACTGATACTTTGTTTATCGAATCAACACCACATACACGCAATCGAAATTATTCTGCACCTGTCCCAGATATATGCAAAATTCTACTACCCTTGTTATCACAAAGAAGGAAAGAAAATTAGGACTATATAAATTGTCTGAAAGTTGTGGAGTTACCTGTTATGAATATGGACAATAAATTGTATCCGAAACCTTATCCAGCCAATGATACTATTTCAGCGTGACATTTCTAATAGGCAAACTAAAATGGAATTACAACCTACCACAGTACCCAAGTTTTACTTCTATATTAACAGACACCGACACGTAAGGCAAAAGCAGTATTACATTCGGAAACTTGAAACAATTAGTCCCCTTGATAAATTTGAATAACATAGTGAGGTGGAGATTATCTGAAACATGTGGTGTGTTAGCGCTATATATTTCGAACAATCTGATCACACATGAACTTGTCAAATACTGAACGTAAAACTTAAAAAGGTTAATTAAGCCAATGGAATTATAATTAAGAAATATAACAGGGGCGGAACAAAAGCAAGAGAGGAGAAAAATAATAGAAGGTTAAATCTTATCCATCCTCAACGATAAAAGCAAATTTATGGCAGACTTTTCCGCTCAGGGAATACGTAAATTTGAAGGAAGAGTAAATTCTATCCTACTGAAACTGCTCAACTTGAATAACATCAACAAAGAGGATTCTAACTACCTGAAACCGATGAGATCTGAGTACCCACACCTATGCGGATTTCCCAAAACACATAAAGCCAATAATCCACTCCGTCAAATATTGTCTGTGTCGGTCACCCACATATAAACTAGCAAAGTGGCTGGCAAAACTCCTGGATCCTATTAGAAGCCAGGTTCGTAAGTTTTCTTTGAAAGATGCATTTGAACTTGTTGACCGAGTAAATGATATCAATATCGGGAATAAGACTGTGTATTCTTTTGGTGTAAGCTCTTCATTTATTGACTAGGACGACTGATATTTATTATGACTCTATTTCTTCCAGAAATCTTTTACTACTTATTCCTCTTACAGCTGTCAAGGACTTATTATCATGTACTGATAACGTCCAGTTCCAATTCAAAGGCGAATATTTCCGACAGATTAGTGGTTTTGCCATGGGTAGTCCTTTAAGTCTCCTGCTAGCTGATTTGTATATGTCATACGTCGAAGAGTTAGCCAAGAATTAATTGGAAAGGGTTGATTTTATAAAAGATGTGTGGATGACATTTTTGTTATTTGTGAAAAACGTGAGGAGGTAATGTGCTTATTAGATAAAATTGAATAGTGCACAAAGTCGCATTATGAGGAAGAAGTGGATGACAAACTACCGTTTTTAGAAATACTGATTAGTCGAAGACAGGATGGCTCAACCAGAAGCTCTATCCATCGGAAGCTGACTTGGACAGGACAATACCTTAGTTTCTCTAGTTACTGTCCAGCACAATACAAGCGTAGCTTAGTCAGGTGTTTACTTAAGAGAGTTCATTGTATTTGCACAGATGATACAAAAGAAACAAGCAAAATTCCTGACACATGCACCAGTGCAAAATGGATATCCATTAAAATTTATCAACAGATGTAAAATCGGAACAACAATGACACCAACTAATTAGTACTCTGTTCTTAGGAGAAATGTGCATATCACATTGCCATATAGGGGTGAATAGAATAGCCTAATCTTGAAGAAAAGGCTCAAATCAGATGTTAGTACGACATACTATGCGGCCAAGGTCATCTCACCGGAGAAGACAAAAACCGTGCTTCATCACAAATGTAAATCGCATTTGGACAAGTGCACCATATTTCATTGTGTCTGTCAATTGAGATGTATGTGTGGATGCACATACATAGGGAATAGCAATCGCAACATGCAGTTAACAATGGTTGAATATGTGCCTAAATGGCTCCAGAAACAAATGACCTCTAACAGTTTAATAAGTGCAGATGATACACGTCCTTCGTCATCGATAGCGAAACATAGTAGAAACTTGTCATATGAGTGACATGATGACAGCTTTCACTGTAATGTATATGGTCAAGAATTTATTGAAGCACTTGCCATCCATAAATCCAAACCCCTCTATGTATTCAGAAACACTTTGTACTTACACCAAACCTACCCTGGTAGTATTAAGTTCAACTCTTCAGACTATTGGCGGTGGTAATTTGACCTTTTACTATATTTCTCCTTTCTTGCCCTTGTTATATTTCTTAATTATAATTCCACTGACTTAATTAACCTTTCTAAGTTTTATGTAAATTATTCGACAAGTTCATATGTGATCAGATTGTCTGAAATGTATAGAGCTAATACTTCACACATTCCAGATAATTTGTTCTTATCTAGTACCCTTCGCCGGACTTAAACTTTGCTCACACGGTGATTCCACTAAAGGCGAGAAATGCTAAGAAGATTTCTGTGATCTAAACGCAGTAATTGCTTCATATCTTCTACTTTTAACGATTATGTCTCACAGCTGTATAAAAGGACAGAGCGGACTGCAGCGCAGTATACTCATTCTTTGATAGGTTGTCGGATGTCTTTCCAGTCGGTGCCACAGGTGACGCAAGTTGGCAAGTGCAACACAGGCCTTCTGTATGCGAGCTGAAATTCATTCAGCAACCACTTCATTCGGACCGATACAATATAGGAGTAAAACTTGAGCACCGTCGCAGATTGTAATCCCATCGTAGTCTGAAAGAATGTTATTTACAGGATAACGTTTCGGACATAATCTATTGTCTGTATTCACACCAGGTAACTTCACAAATTTGAGTTGTGATTTATTTAGTTATAATTCTCTCTCATTCTTTTTGATAAGGGTAATACGAATCTCCGTATACCTGGAACAAGTGTAGAACCACTCCGATTTGGTGTTGATTCGATAAATAAAAACTCGGTCGCCAATCTCTCCCTCCACCCAGTTTCTAATACTGCCGATCTGCCCCACCCCATTGTGTGCAACTACATGCATAGCTACAGTGGAGCTTTTCGCTAGATTTTTTACCGTATTGGGTCACTGAGTTCGGACAGCCTGATTGACCCTGACCGGCTGCTTTGAACTTGAGATCACTGCAAGAGATTCGGTAAACTACATTATTTCTCTTAATTGAGTCAACAGGATCTTCTTACCTACAAAGCAGGTTTCAAAGGGAGATTGTAGGTTTAAATCCTACTCTAATCCCAGCCTTGTTGAGAACAATAATAATAATAATGCCAGTCACTATTTCAAACAATAACTTTTAGCATACTTTGCAATTCTTAGTGTGATATTTCAATAAATTCACTTCTTGTAAAAAAAATTTTCAAATTAAAAAATCATGGCAGTTAAGTAGTATTCATAATAATAGTATGATAGGCACTAATGCACAACAAACAGTAGTTTTTAGGTCATCATCTAGTTTGCCCGTGGGTCGGACAAAAAAGCACAGGTAAGTTTGGTGGTGGAGGTTAATGTTAATTCAGCCAGTATGAAAATTTGCTCCTCCAGCTACATGTTCCTGTAACAACTATATGATGCAGTGTTCACGGGTCAACTGCCGTCTACTGTGATATTTTCGCGCAGTCTTATTGTTAACCAATCTACCGATAGGTTGAAGACATTTCAAGAGTGCGCGAGAGTATGTTTTGCGATTTGTTGACATTTGAATGGTTAAAACAAGTAAAAACAAAGTCAATTTGATGAAATATATTTGGTAGCCCAAGATTTAAGCAGGCTACCGATAAATGGATAAATGAATGCTTCATAAAGTTTCTGAGGTGCCATATTTTTATGGTAACACAGTATAGATTTTGAATTCTCTCTCCATCCTGTCACTAACACATAATCATTAGTAGCAGAATTATTACTAACACTTGTGTTACTACTCATATTTTTCTTACGATTACAGTAAATAATACTGTTTCACTTTGTGATATATCTAATAAATAGCCTAAAATACAATGCAAAGCTGTAATATTAGTAAACTTTGGATGGAAAGAATGCTTTCTGGATTAATACCCTTCCAACTTTGCTTTCCGTCGATCCATTAGTAAGTGTGGAAATCCAAACGAAATTCCCTTCATACCGGGTGCTCATGTAGTCTTTCCGACAAACTACCATACGTCCACGGAATGCTTTGCACAAAATGCTACAACTATCTAATTCTTCCATCACAGATATTTATATATGTGAATTCTAACAAAAGTATATAACATACTAAGAGAATTCTTCATTGGTTTTTTCGTCTGGGTCAACACTAGCCGAACTGAATGACTGGTCCATAAAGACTTATAAGTCAATAAATACAACCTAGTTTCTAAGTTCTGAAAAGACTAGTGCCTCCGAGGCTTAATAGAATTCTGTTAACAATGCAGTTTAGTAGTGAGCAAAAAATCACACAACCACATTTAGTACTATATGGTGTTATCCCGCCGTTGATTGGACCGAAATGACCGGTCTCTATTGGCATAAGGGCTCCGATCTGGATGCCTCGATATTGCTTGTATTTTCGATCTTGATCTCAATGATAGATAGTGGTTAGCAGTGGAATTCAGGATAGGCGTTTCGTCCTATTTAAGACTCGTCATTCGGGTGTATTTGCCTACCAGTGAGCGATGTTATTCCCCCTAAAACTCGAGCCCGGGACCGATAACTTCAAACACTAGAGCGTTACCCACTAAACCACTGAGTCAAGACAGTCACTTCTGAGGCAAACGGTATAGTTTATATATTGTTTAGGCTATCCCGTTGTTGATTGGACCGCACAGGAGCATATATACCAGTAGAAACCGTTCAATTCGATCCAATCCACAACGGGAAAACACAAGCAACATCAAATACACTATACCTGTTGCACAAAAAGTGACTCGGTGGTCTAGTGGATAACGCTCTAGGATCGAGTCCTAGCGGGAACAACATCGCTCTCTGAGAGGCAGGTACACCTAGCTGATGAGCCCCAAATAGGACAGAACGCGCATCGTAGATTCTACTGCTAGCCACTATCCATCATTAGGATCATGTTTAGTACTAGCTCGGATTTATTTGATATATAGAACTCGACCAAAACCTTGATAACAATTAGGCTTTTCCGTGTTACATGTCGAAATTCGTGAACTGGGTGTGTGATACAAAAAATTGAAAATTGTAAAGCTCATATTAGCATTTTGAGGAATCCTGCTTCCCTACCATGAATGTAAGTAGATAAGATATTCATTCAAGACAAAAGATACCCCCGCCTACCTATATTTTTCCCAATAAGTGTGAAGCTGACTTGTGACAAAGAGGATCCTTCAACTTATCTGCTACATTTAAACTTTCGGTTAGTTAGTAAAAATCTAAAAACTGATTTCATGATCTTCGCATTTAAGGGATGACCCACTTTATACAACAATAAAGTATCGAATCGAAATGCTCTCGGAAACGTTCATGCAGCAGACAGTAAGTCACACCTATAGTGTAGGGGATGATACCCTAGCCTGGCTGCTGAAACTTCAATAGGCGGGGCCCGGTTCGAACCCGTGACCCACCGATTAAAAGTCAAATTTCTAGACCAAGGGGCCACTGCTCCCAATTTTCTACAGAATATCAAGAAAACCGCTGCTTATTCTCTTCTCAAAAATACTTTAAAAGCAAAGTAGACCATATCTCAAGAAAATTATGATTGATCAAGACGTAAGACGATATACTATACAAAATACTATCACTCTTAAAAGTAGTTCTCTTCACATCGGCTGAAAAGTACATGAGGACACTGTACAGAGGAATTTAGGTCGAAATAAATATTTCTAGATTGAACACATTCCAGGTTGTGACAATGGTTAGGTGGTAGTTCTTGTTTCTGTAGCAGTCAGACCCATTTGTTCTAATTCAGCAAATAGCTTGTTGGCTTCAGCCTCCACTTCTGGTCGATCATCTTCTAAAGCTTCTGAAAGAGCCAAAAGGGAATCTGAAACAATACAACTGACAGGACCATACAGTTTTGAATCCATTGGAACGTTTTCATTATTACCAGTTGCTTGATCATTTGAATGATTGAATACACATTTTAGCAGTCGAATAGCCGCTAATCGAGTACGCCAACATGAGGAGTGCATAATACGTTCAGTTATTGCAGAACCAAGTGGACGTAGATAAGCTTCATCCCCACAAACGGCATCCAGAAAAGAACCCAAAATATCCTGTAGATCAATTTCAGTCACCGGCGGTGTACTGGATGATGATGAGGAAGACATATCAAGTAACCCAATTAAAACAGATGGGATGAATAGTGTTGATTCACCAGCTGATGCTGCATCCAAACATGCAACATTTTTCACTTCTCCAACTAGCCACTTATGTAAGCAAGACAATGAAGAGCGAACACAAGTTATAGCTTTGAGCGAAGCACCATTGGCATAACAACGAAGCGACTGTGTAAAGCTTAGTCGGTTGGCGAGCTTTTTAGCACCTGTGAAAAAATATATATCCATTATTCATTTTATATTACAAAAACAACTAGTTGGATAGCATACGAACGTTTTACAAAACTGCTACAGTGGTATGACATGCGATTAAATTGTCCACAAAAGCAAGTGAACGAATATATCAATCATCTCTTTTCCTAAACTGAACGTCAGTACTTATGACTTGAAGTCATCACTTCCAACTAATACAGTAGTATTTACACTGCCGCTATCCAACAGCTGCCATTCAGCTTAATGTGGCACTACAGATAATTGAAATATTATAGTAATTGAAGAAAATAACTGAAATCATGCTCAAAATTACTAATTCCATACACTATATGAACATAATGATGACAACTAATGTCAGACACGCCACATAAAGCTTGGAAGACAACATGCCAGATACCGACGGCGGGTATTTATTATGCCTAAATGAATGTTGGGACCAAACTACTGACGAGTAGTAATTTTGCTTGAATTATTAGCAAAAAGCTGATCATTGAGTGTAAATATTCATCTTAAACTGACTTACAATCAAGTGATTCGTTTCAAAGTGTACAAACTTTTCATAAATATAATTGATAAGGCACTATAATCTACCTATAGTGCCGTAAACAACGTCTTGAATGGTAGTCAGGTTCATCAAAAAGCGAATCACAGCTGAAGAATTCAGTTACTCCTCGGAAAAAACTGCAGTGAAGAAAGCAAAGCCAACCACCGAAACATATATTCTCAATTCTAAAGTCTACTTCATGTAAACTTCCGAAGTCATTGAACAAAAACGTGGTGAAAAGTTAGTGTCAGATGTGGTGGTCAGATCAAGATGTGATACCAGTCGATAAAGTCTCTTACTGTAGGTCCGAGTCGTGGGGGGATGTAGACTACCTGGTTGAGGTCCCCGAGATGAAAGGAATCAGTGGTTGACGACTCTTGATGACATGGGTGAAAATCGGTCACTATGGCCCAGATGTATTCACTCCTTGACATCTTTTAAAGCTTGAATATTCGCACTAACCGTTAACTTCAGATTTTTCGTTCAGACAACTTTGTCAATATTGACATATCTTTTTCCATCCAGTTGTTGTTTGTATACTACTAATGTGAAGCTTGGCAACTTGAGATGCTGCAGCTGTATGTGAGTTTCTACACTGATTTTTCAATCAGTCAGTCGAATACTACTTAAACTTGTCGCAGATACCTAGAAACAAACATATGTAAACCAACATTTCAGTAAATACTAAGAATAAAACTCTAACACACCTTTGAATTTACGACCGACAGCAACAATGAAGACTAGGACGATAGAATCAACTAAGAATAACTGTTTGCTCAGTTCAGAAAATTCTTCTGCATTCATGTAATTCGGAATTCTATAATCGAAGTGAAAAAGTAAAATATGGTTTTAAATACACAGACGTCTCAATAATAAGTAACGCTAGTTATCATCCTAGAAATAAAGACCACCTAGCAAATTACAGAGTACAAGCAAGATTACAATAGAACCTTATAAATCTGTTGACAAGTTAGTTAGCAGAAAAAGGGTTTAAAAAATCATCCTGAAAAAAAAATGATAGTAACTGTCTAAGACATCAATGTTTCATGCTCATGATGATGAATGACAGGTTATTTTATTTGAATAGTAGACAAATACATCAAAACAGCCAATGAAGTTCTTTAGAGTGTCTGAAACCAATGCTCCCATCAACACTGAGTGACTGAATTTGTCTACGGTGAAAAACCTGAAGCAAATTATGATCCAATATTCAGATTTGTCATACAATTAGTTCTCTTGACGACTTTAGACAATGCAGAATAAAATTGGTTCGTTTTGTTTCACTGCCTTTCATCAGCTACAAACAGCCCACAATCAAAGTGAGGTATTAGTGGTAACATTAGTATAACATCCTTTAAATATGTAGAAATGTAAATTTGAAATCCAGAATTAGCAATAAAATAGTGAGCCAAGGAAACACAAGATTATTGATCACAAATCGCAGTCAATATCAATGGCAGTTTACATCTGATGTTATAGAAAATTCTGGAGCCGTGAAAACGAGCGGAACAGCAAACGAATAGAAGTGTAAAAGATGGGATTGTTAAAGAGTTAGCAGGTTGCGTAATTACGTGAAAAAACAGTCAGTAAGTAATTAATGAAGAGATGATCCAACCAAAAAAAAGACTATATACATACACATGCAAAAAATTATATACAGTTACATTGATTTGGGTTTGTTGTCCCTCACTCCATAGCTCCAGAAATTTCTATCTCATTAGATATAAAGTGCCATCGATACTAAGATTTGTGATTATTAATCCTGTGTTACCTTGACTCACCATCTTATTGCTAATTCTGCATTTCAAATTTACATTTATTTCTACATATTTAAAGGATGTTATACTACTGTTACCACTAATACCTCACTTTAATTGTGGGCTGTTTGCAGCTGATGAAAGGCAATGAAATAAAATGAGCCCATTTTATTCTGCGAATGTTTTTGTTCTTGCATTGCTCAAATATTCAGATTATTGTAAATCTTCAGCATATATTCATTCTTAAGCAAATATTAATTATTCATCGAATATATCAGTGCATAAAATCAAACTGTCTATTTCGCCCAGTAAAATAGTTCACAATACTCTTTCCAACAGAACGATTTATGCAATAATTATTAAGAGCATATGATCCACCCCAAGTCACAGATAGAGAGAAGATGCATGGGGATGATGAAGAGATACTAGGACTTGAAATTGGGATAAAACGACTTTGATAAAAAAAAAGGTAGTTAAGGAAAAAAGATACATCATGAAAAACCAACCTTTCTATTATTCTGAAAACAATTGACAAACGTGATAACAACTGGTCGGTGACCTCTACTGGCTCCATATTATCAGAGTCAGGTTGTTGAAGTTGTAGTTCACCACTCTGACAATTAGCCCATGCAAACAACTGCTGACAAATTCGAAAACGAGCATCTTCATCTGGTAGCGAACTGATCAGACTAGCAGCGGAACGATACAGGCATAAAAGCATATCATTATTTTCAACTTCTAAAGTATTCTGGAATTCCCTTGTATTCATACTGTTAACAACTGAACGTAAACAATTACGAAGTAACCGCCATATTAAATCAGGTTGTGTTGCATGCATCACTGCAAAAGAGTGAAGTTGGTCTTCATTTTTAGATAACAATAAACCATTTTCATTAATGGGTGCCATGGACTCCCCGAAATCAGATAGAAAAGACAAGGCACCATGGAGTATAACCTGAAAGTGAATGATGCAATTTATAAGCAGCGTAATGATTAAAACTATGGACAGAGTGTACATACAATGGAAAAATCATTGAAACTACTGAAAATGATTTTAAAAATCTAATGTTGAGATAATACACCTACAGGACAAGATAGTTGGTTGACTGAATTACATACTCCAAGGTGATGATTTATACTGAATCAAAGAAAACGATGGGTATAAAGAAGATTTAATTCAATGATTTAATAAATTAATGATAAATGAGGACGTACATCATGTTTCTTACTTAATTCTATTGGGCTTAGTGGTCTATACATCCGATAACAGATCACCTCTCCGAACTCAATGCATCTACTTTGATCTGCCTGCTTAAAAATAATTGATAAGATCTTTGTTACTGCATTGCATTTAATGCTCCTTTTCTTATGTGCTTGCTCCTTTATGTACGAACATCTCTCAGATTTTGTTGATATTCTCTATAGTCATTTAGAAGACAGCAAGCTTGAACTGATGTACTTCTATGAACCGTTTTAAAATGCATCATCTGCACGTGACGTTACGCATAGCCTCACACATTGCTATATACCAGAGTAGCAGTGTACCAAAGAATGTTTTTCCATAGCATATTCATCAAGTCAAAGCTTCAGCTTATATCACATCAACATATGAGCTGAATTTTGTTTAATTTATCAACCTAAACAACATGCCATCAGAATGTTTATTACTTGACATTTTTAACAAACGAAATGCACAAAATAAATATCATGAAGGATAAACAAAACAATATGTACTATAGTATGTGCGAACTTACATCATTACTTTCTTTTGAGGCTTTTTCAATCACACGTTGTATTGATGTGAGCAGATAATTAACCTCTGTCACATGACGCAAAAGTTGACTGTAAAGGGATAAAATGACGATAACAGACAGGTGAGTACAGCCCATTTGTACACAGGTCACTGTGTCATAAGTTTACTTTACTCAAACAATGAGTTCCTAAATGCATACAACAGCTTTACTATATTTATGTATATGATAAATATAAGAAAGACGTTCAATTTTTTATGATTATGATTAGTCGAAATGTCCTATCATTGTGAGCTGCAGGTGTTTCACGACTCTGTGTTTAAAAACTATCGACACCGTAAGATTGCTGGCAACTGGTGAAAGTACCAAGTAAGCAATTCGAAGGTTAGATAGAGTATGTTTGAACGTGGTGGGGATCTTTTCTCACTGAGTGACGTCATCTTAAAACACCTGTCTCAGTAACTTTGACATATGTTCCGTATGCCATCGTCCCAGGGACTATCATATGCCTCACTGTTCCCTTGCTCTGGGACTGGTTGAAAGAAGCGAGAAGGTAGCCAATGTATGGTGTGGTTCCATAGGATAAAGTATAGTTATTCTAGCTTGACATTGACGAAGGGGTCAGAGAGATCATGCGACTCGGCGACTCACAGTGTTATCAGATATGACTTACAACCAACACCAGTGGCGATCATGCTTTAGCCTTTTTGTCTCTCCTATTATGGGAAAGTGAAACAAAAGTAATGAATACTTCTTTGAGCGGATTCTTAGGACTACTTTTTTGATAATCCGTTCACATTTCTGCTTCTGTTTCTCTTTTATTCCACCAGAATTTCATTTGCTTCTCGCATCACAGAAAGCGAATGTATATGATCACTTCACGATATCCCATGCAGTTTTGTAGTTTTCAGTACCTGGTACTTCTGTTATATGTATAGCTAAATAACGTTACCGTGAAAATCACACAAATTATATTAAAGGAGAAAACAAAAATTCCCCTGATACACATTTTAAAATATGCTGTAAAACTCACTGAATATGATTAACAAGACTGGAGATCTGACGAAGTATATGACCTGAACGTTCCGGATTACAACCAGTAAGCACAGATAAGTTGCCTTTCTGAAGTTGAAACAAAAAGCTTAGTAGAGTGATTGCAGCAGGTTCTGAGACTGAAGAATGTGTCGCTTTCTTCTTCGTTGAACTCCCAAACTCCAACCACTTTCCAATTGCTGACTCTGTATCTTCTATTGTGTGATCACCTTTGGATTGATAGCATAAGCGATGAATAATGGCTACTTCTAGTAGATTGCTGATAAGCGTAAGACCCGCCTGAAGTGGAATATTGAAAATATCATAGTATAAGAAATAATCGCACGAAATTCTATCATTTTCACAGTGAAAAAGATGTACACTAGTGAGGACAAAGAAAATCTGAAATTTTTTTCACACTGTCTGAGAAATCTATATGTAATGAACAACATGGTCAACTTCAGTGAAATATACAGGCTAAAAACAAGCATATCAAAATTTATAAGCCATAGGGTGCTCTGACTAAACCGATACACAACTAACTTATCACAAAATTAGTAAATCGTTGCATTCAAACTTATTCTTAGCTGAGCGCTGAACAACCTAGTTTTGAGAAAGCTGATCGACATAAACAACCTTTTCTGCTTTGCTGCAATTTTTTCACAAGCATCAAATGTCAGGTATGCATTGCATTAGTGATTAGTACTGCTACGTATGTATACATGAATGAGACATCAGTCAAAGGTCGTAGCTATCTGATAATCAGTGCTCTAAGCGTCAATCAGTAATGACTGTACTCAGATCAAAGGTATCGAGATAACGACAGTAGGCATACAATAAATAAGTTCGATAGCCTGAACAAACTCCTTTCGGATATCCCTCGGCAATCACCAATAAATGTTTTAGTTAACATAACCATGAGGTATACTTTTAATTAAATAAAAGAAAGTGAAAAAAATTTTTTTTAGCTGCAAATATAGGCTTACCAATAGATGTTGATCTCTTGAATGCATTGAACCAGTTATTAATGTAAAGTGACTATCTGATTTACATGGAGAGTTAACAGAAGCATATCTTTGTGTAGATAACTTTGGTGAAGGGATAAATACTGTACATGTACAAGCATGATCTAATGCAAAGGAGAGTAACCAACTCAAACGAGATATAGTTGCACTAGCCTCTGGATATAAAGTTTGTGGTGGTAAACGTTGAAGACATTCGACAAAAAATAAGCAAGCTAAAGATCTTGACTCAGCAAGGGATGATCCAGAATGATGTTCACGTGGAGAATTCACAATATCAAGAGATCTATGACCTGTAGTCTCATTCGAGACTTCATGCATATTTTTAGAGCTGACAGTTATCCACCAATTGTTTGGAATTGCCATCAAACTATCTAAAGCCTGAAAATCAATACAACATGACAAATAAAGAGCATTTAAGAATGCAGGCATACTTTCTTGAGAACCATCAAATGTAAGCTGTCACTTGAAGGTTAAAAATGATAACCATAAATCTCAAATGTTTGTGATTCAATGACTGACACAAGATAAGGCTATAAATACTCCTACTATTTTTGTTTTAGGCATGTTACATTTACTAAAATTGAAGGTGCAACCATTAAAAGAAAACTGAGTGACTAGGAAGAAACTATAATTAAAACAATGATTATGAAATCTATGAAATTAAGTGGTAATTCAAAGTGTACGACGCTTCCAGAAGAAAGATGAGTCCGGTAATAATGACGAATTGGTGCATGCAATATATACTGCATGACGTAAGAGGTAATAGTGTCTAACTTGTAACTAAAAAGGATGATGAAACAAGGTGCACAAATTTACTAGTTGAAACTGTTGAATAAAAAACTAAATTTTTCGATGCCATTTAAACGAATCGGGTACAAAATATGCAGAAATATATAACATAGGCAACAGATACAGTAGTAACTTCACCATAGGGTATCTGATAACCAGCATAACAACTGCATCAGTTATAGTGAACTACTAGATTCATAAAACTCCGAACAATGAGAAGCCAGTATCTCTCATAGGTAGTCAGTATTTAGTCTGTCAGCATGTTAGTTGTTTGTTAAAACCAACTATAGGAGGACAGGAACCTTATAAGCAAAGAGGAATAGCTCTGCTTGCATCGATTTTAATCACTAAAGGAGGGTTGAATACATACCCAATAAAAGGCTTATGGTGATTCGAACAAGCAATCATGCTGCAAGTCCAAAGATTAGTGTTCAGATTTGGACTGATCAGGCCTGTAAAACTGGAACTTAAAACACAAGGAAATCTTGGGGAAATACCTCGAGAGTAGTCGCAAATGTTTTTAATTACACTGTTTGGTAGTAATGATGAGTAGTGGCGAGAAGTGGGACCTACGACGCACGTATCAACCTAATGAGTGATGTTGTCCCCAGTAGGACTCGAACCAGGTGCCCCCCAGAGCATTACTTATTAGGTTAAGATTACTTAATTCAAGTGGTCGCAAAAGTGATACCACTTCCGGGGATCGCTTTGGATTGCACCTGTGTCAAAAAAAAGCTAGATAGGAAATATGAAACGCGCCTTTCAAAATTATAACAAAAACAACGGGTTACATGACCAGATGTTCACTGATTAGTGAATCTGCTGATTTACATTATGTAATCACTTGATATGTTTTCTACAAAAACACCTTATATAGAATGTACACCTATAGAATATCAAAGGTATATATGCAAATGGAAATTTACACGCATAAATTCCCCAGGATATCGATAAGCCAGTAATTTGGCTAGACTTCTCAGACACGCCAGACATTGTCGTGAGAAAGATGATCCAAAAACATTGGTAGATTTTGACACTTGGCTATCATCTAAGTGAGTATTTTTCAAACAGTAAAATGAGGTTAGTTTTCCAGTAAACTGAACCAAACCAACTTCCAATGTATCCTCCAAATCGACAAGATTTCGACTAACTAACTGCTTGTGAGATCTCAAAAAAGATTTATAATTCATTTTATTGCAGTCAATCAAAATTGGAATTGGATGAATGTTTACAGTTAGACTTGATAATTTGGCAGATAACAAATCCAATGACTTTCGACGAAGTCCACGATTATCTGATGCGAACAAATTCGAGATCATAGAAATGAATACCTGACCAGGTACAGAGTCTAAGATCTATACAAAGAAATTAGAATTTTTTTTAAAGACACAAAAGAATTAGCGACAAAAAATTAAACACACACTGATAATTACCAAAAAATTTGATCAGATTTACATGACAAAAGAAATCTGGTGCGAATATAAGAACATTAATGGAATAATATATCTATCAGATCAAGTTATAGGCACTGTCAATAAATAAGCAATTATGAGAAGTTCGTTTTCATAACAGAAAACTTGATCGAACCTAATGCATTTCTAACTGAATGTTTAGTTGGTTGCGCTTCTTGATCTCGAAATACATCAGATAGAACAAGTGAAGTGAATGGCAAGCCATTCTGAATATGCTGAATTTTTACAACCCATAAATCTTTTTTGGCTACAAAGTTCAAGCGTCCGCTCACCAAAGAACATTCTTAGTTTGATACGCTAAAACTGAGGACATTTACGAACATATAAACATCATGATGTAGATTCACTGAATGCCTATTATTATATATTTTGACAGCTAACTTCGTAAGCAAGATCCGTCGACTCCAATTCGGATGAAATGGAGAAGATAACTGGATAGAAAAGTTTATTCCCCAGAGAAGAATAGTCAATTAACCCAAAGACACGTGTGTATATAAACATGAGACATAACCGTATCCAAAACTTGAAACATTAGCAAGGTAAAAGTAAGCATTAACCAATCAGCAAACTACCTTGAAAATGAGGGCCATGTTGTAAAAAGTGGTGCAAAAACCACAATTAAAAAGTTTAGATTAATAAATAATGTTTTAAGCAAATCTGAGGCTTTTCAACACCTATAGCGATACCCATAGTCCCATAAAAATATTTTTAGGGAAATTCTGGCTTTACATTGCAACATCTGGCACAATTTGATGATTGAAGTACAACAGAAATTAGTATAATGTTTACTATCCCCCCGCCCCCAACTAGTTTACTTTTGACTACGGTCAATGCTGTGTTGTAATGTGATGATTTCAAAGCCACCGGATGCTGTATGACTAAAGAAAACTCAATGTCCAGTTAGTAGAAATATTCACCTTAGTTATCAGCAACGACAATTCGTAAAAATAGTGATGCATTAAAACAGGGTCTATAAAGGTTAAATAGATGTCACTAGCTTGTAAATGTTAGAATAGAATGATAAAGAAGGTAACTTAACAAGTATGTGCAAATTTATATACTGGCTAACAGTCATGGATATAGTGTAAAGAGAATCGACAGTAACCGAATGAGTGAATCAAAGATGGAATGAGATTCGAAATTATTGACAGTTAAAAGTACTGCATAAAATGCAAACATCCCACACATGAATCTTAGTAAGGTGAAACCTTTGCTCCCTAATTCCTGCTAGAATTCTGAACAATTTACAATAATCACGTTGTAACGTGTGATGAAATATTATTATATTATTTGTCCCTTGGGTTCCTACTGGAACATAGGGATTCAGTAGCACGTCTCCATTGCACTCTGTTCTCTGCAATTTTTCAACCTGGCTCCACAACTGCCCACAAGCTCTCCTTTCTTCCACACACGATCTCCTCTGTGTCACCCTCGCTTCGGACACCCAACTCGTCGTTTCCCATCTGGGTCCCACTCGAGTGCCTGGCTTCGCGCATGATGTCCCCGAACGGTCTTCTCAGTGCATGCCTGATACATCTCCACTTCCTTCTGCACATTTGTCGAGCGATAGCTTCTTGGTTGGTTCTTCACCAGCCAGAGTGAGTACCTTGTTGCTTATTCTTTCTGGCCATCTGAGCTTCAATAACGAGTGTAGGCAGTTGATGAATATTTGTAATTTGTTGGAAATGCCTTTCGTAACGCGCCAAGTCTCTCAACCATCACATAGAAGCACTGACTTGATTGGTATTAGTGTTGAAAACCCGGGTCTTGTTCACGGTTTATGCTGAGTGCAGATCTCTACACTGGTTTCAGGTTAATGAACACCTGTCTTGCTGCTTTTCCGATCCTGGATTTGACGTCCTCGTCCGTGCCACCTGTAGTTGAAACAGTGCTGCTTTGCCTAGATAGGTGAAAGAGGCTACTTCCTTTGAGTTTCTCCTGTTGATGGTGACCAGAGCTTGTTGGTGGTGGTGGTAGCGTTAGTTGGGTATCTTCATCACCTCTGTCTTCTCTATATTCACCTGAAGTCCCGTCTTCGCTGTCTCGCCTCTTCTCTCAACTTGTTAGTTTTCGCCTGTTGATCTTCAAGTTTGTGTGATATTAGACACAAATCACCATCGGCGAAATCCAAATCTTCCAGGTTCTTTTCCTCAGTCCAGAGTACCCCCCTCTTCTCGCTCCTCACTGTTTATTGCATGATCCAGTCCACCACAGTCAGAAGATCATCGGTGATAGTAGACAGCCTTGTCTTACTCCTGTCCCGTCTTCACTTCAAAGGCATCACTGAGCTTCCCATTGTGAATTACTTGACATGTGGCATCTTCATATAGTTGTTAAATGAGATTGATAAAGGTTTGTAATATTCCTTAGTGTTGAAACAGTTGTCTGCCAAATTACTTCTCGGTCGACGCTGTCAAAAGCCTTTTCAAAGTTGATGAAATTGAGGTGTAGAGTTGACTGCTATTCTATACTCTGTTCAATAATGATGCGTAGCGTTGCGTTGCAATTTGATCCGCACTGATTTGATTTGTTCCTCCTGAAGCTAGCCAGTCTGTTTCGGTCGTAATTTTGAATCCAGAGCATCCTTCAGTCTCTCTAGGATGATGTGGCTTAATATTTTGTTTGGTTTGGGTGGACAGGAGAGTGATTCTGCGCCAGTTCTTGCAAAGACTTAGGTCTCCCTTCTCTGAGAGCTTGACAAGGTAGCCCTTCTTCCGATCGCCAGGTACCTTTCCCTCCTTCCAGACCTTCTGCGATAGTGGTGTGAGCATATCCACTGTTGTCTCTGCGTCTGTTCTCAGTGCCTCTGGCGGGATTCCATCTGGTCTCGCTGCTTTCCCGCGTTCAGTGGCTTTATGTCGTTCAGAACTTCTGCTTTTGCCGTAGAGCATGTGTTCACTGGTAGTTCTGCATCTCTGAACGAGTTGCAGGTGGTGGTCGACTCAAGAGTTTTGGAAGTGGTCAGCCCATCCTCTCCTTTGTTTCTCCTCTTTGGTAACTAGCTTTCCTTCACTATCTTTCATTGGTTTCATCGGCGTTGATCTCTTCCTTCCCAGATAGTAACCTGGTTATTTGATACAATGTTGTCAGGTCTCTGTCTCTCCTACCTGCAGCCTGTTCTACTTCACTTGCCAGTGTTTCGTAGAAGTGTCTTTTGTCTTTCCGCGCATCCTTCCTCAATTCTTTGTCCAGTGTAGTGTTTTATACGTTGTACTCAGTTCCTCTTCTCGTCATTCATCTTTGCACTGGTTTATCTTCTACTTCACCACCACCATCTCCCTCTCCCTCCTCTATCAGCTTCCATGTGTCTATCGAGATCCATTCCTCATCTTCTTTCTTCTACTCTCCTGATACGATTATGCAGGTTTCTTCCCACATAGCTTTCACAGAGTTCCAGTGTTCATCCATTCAGATCCCTTCAGGGATGTTGCTCCATGTCCTCCATCCTTTCCTGATAACTGACTGACGTGAAGATGTCCTTTGTAGATTCGTCCTTCAGTTTCCAGGTGTTCAACTTCAACTGTAATCTATCACCAGCTTCCTTGAAGGCTTTTAACTTGATTTTGAAGGTTCTTTGCACTAGATAGTGAAGTGAGTGGTGTGAACCTACATCTGCCCCTCTCTTTATCTGATCTTGTGTCCAGTAGGCTGACTGCATCCCCACTTTCTTCACATTCAGATGAAGTTGATCTGATTGTTAGTGTAGTATATCCACCTGGTGAAATCCATGTCACTTTGTGGATATCCTTGTGCTTGAACACACTGCCTCACCTCCAATCACCAAATTGTTGGATGCGCAGGAATTTGCAAACAGTCCTCCATTCTCGTCCATCACTTCACCGAGTGCTTCTTGACCCATGATGAGTTCTCTTCCTGTGTTATCCATTCCCACCCAGTTTGGCATTCATGTCACCCCACCCATTAGAATTTTGATGTCGCCAACTGGGGTATTGTCTTGTCCAGTATTGATTGCAGTTGTCTATAGAATTCCTCCTTCTTCTCTTCATCTGCATTATTTGTAGGTGCGTAGCGCAGCATTGTATGATTGTGACCTTCCTTCCTTTTCAGTTAAATTCATCATGCTGTGATGATCCTGATCCTGCAGGAGGAGATTGGTTTCCATTACCTGAGAGCCTTCGATGCTCTTCAAGGGGACATCATGTTAGCCACTAGAAAACTCAGTGTGCTTGTGGTTGTCGTTTGGGTGACAATAGCGGAGTAGATTATTGACACTCCTCTCCAGTTGACAGTTTGAAGAGTCCACTTTCATTCTATCTACTTTCGTAGATTCCTAACACTTCAATACTATACCTTCTCATCTCCTTTGCAATCTGGGCAGCCTTGCTAGGTTCAGACATAGTGCGGACATTCCATGTCCCCACGTTTACTTCCACTTTCATTGAGAGAAGACATATCGGCCGACTGGTTTCCCGAAGATTTTCACCGACCGGCGTCATTTCGTCTCTCCGAATCCAGTGAGGAATAAATTTGTTTTTATTTTTTATATTTTGTCTGCGCTTTGAAATTTCTGTAGCGGTTTGATTGGTATTCCGTGGTAGGCTTTGCTCGCCCTATGCCTAACCTTCCCTCTTTACCCGGGTTTAGGACCGGCTGGTAACTAGTGAACTAGTTAACTAGGTGATGAATAATATGTCAAAATCCCGAAGTAGAACTGACTATAGAGGGTATTCCATAAACTCTGGAGTAATTAATAACTGATAGTATTTGTGACTTTGATACAAGATTTAGAACATCAGCTAGATCAGTAGCTATGCTGATCTTAATCGCAACATATAGAAAATAACTCAAAACAGAAATCAAGTAATCCTATTGTCATGTTCTTCCGCAGCACATAACGTTCACAAAGATAAACCAATTACTGGTGACTACCATAAGCTAGCTAACTATATTCGCAAATATTTGAGACTCCTGGTAACCTCTAAAGGCTCTGTGGTTTATATGGTACACACCTAACAAACGACTAGCACTGCATCAAGCACCGTTTAAGAATATTAACTTGTATAGTCAAAGAGGGATATTTGAGTGATAACTGCTTACACTTGAACATAATGTTCCACATTCATAGAGACTTGAGTATACACTCCCGAGAAGCATCAGAATATGACAAGATACATATGCCTTATGCTTAGATTTTCAGCTGTTGTTAATATTAACTCATAAGAGAGAGAAAAAACACGTTATATTTCCCAGAAATCATGAAGATATAGGGTGAGGCATATAAATGTCAGTTTTTACGTTAAATTCAATGTCAGTCTCTATAGATCTCAAAGGTTATTGTGAAAAATAGACATCGACAGCCCAATAAACTAGAAAACAGAGAAACTAATAGCTGACATCGATTACTTTTTTTTAAACTATCCGCAAAAACTACTATGCTTCAATGCAACTGAATGAAAAATATACACTGTTAACTAACCTGGACCAATATTGACTGTAGACCATGTAATGCTTCATCGGAACAAGCAATGACTTGTGACATTTTATCATCCGACTTTTTAACTTTTGTTATAAAAGTAGCTACAATCAACATTAATTGAACGATATGTTCCACCAACCGGCCGTAAACAGCACTCAAACCGGATGGATCTTTAAAAGCTTCTTGAACTTTAGTACAATAGTCAGGAGTTTTTATCAATACAACAATGAACTGGATAGTTCGATTAACTAGGAGCCATATTTCATTCAAGGTTACCACATTTGGAATATTTAATGCCTTAGATGGTAGCTCGTTCGTTTTAACCACTTTTTCGGAATTAAAAACAAAAGATGCTAGTCGACTGAATGATGTTGATGGACCAATACTATCTTTATTTGATTGAGATCCAACTACAGTAAGTGAAGAGTTATTTGTTGGAGACTCGCTTGGATTAACGCTTGATGAACTTAACTTTCGCCGTTTTTGAGGATAGCCTATTTCGATGCTAAGTGAACCACAACTTTCTGATATATTGATCTGTAAAATGAAAAGAAAATAACTGTGAGTCACCTTATATATTCAGTCGCAAAAGATATTTTCTGGCTGCTCAAACAGGTTTCTGGAGAAAGAATGCCTGAATCCATTATATGTTAGTTGCTACACACCCGATAGTCGGTAGAATATGATGAGTAACGACGACAAAAGTGTGTACGTATTAACAAATGTGAAAATCTTCATAAATATCATGTCAAACAACACTTAGCTGAACTATCCAAACTTACTATTGATCTAAACAGAGTAAAGTCTATCATTAATTTGAATTCACAAAAATCCAATGCTTATGAGCAGAATATCATCCAAAACCATAAGTAGTTTTAGTGAAGTATGATAAAAACCATTTCCCCCTACAGTTCTTAATAAATTGACAGCTTACATAGGATTTACCTTGTTATGATCTTTGTTTATAATACTCGTAAGTAATCTGAATTCCTCAGATAAAGAAACGAAAGCGTCTACCAAAAATCCAGTAGTTATTCACTATGCGACGATATGCAGTTGTCAAATGACTGGAAGGGATAATCCATAGTTAGTCTGGATATTGCCAGTGTACTTATTATTTTATTCAAAAGAAAGTAATCAGTATCCAAAAAAAGCATTCCAGTTCGTGCGCTGAAGCGTCAGTGATCACAAATCTGATCAACAACAAAGTTTAGACCGAGTAAGGCAATTGTAATGTATGTACCATTATTTTTCAAGAGAAAACTACATTGACGGTAACAAATGCAGGATATTAATACTGGGTGATAGCTGAAGGTGGAATGAAAATTTGGACCGTGGTCGGATTCTAACCAACGATTACTGGGCCCGAAACCCAGTGGTCGCTGGTTCGAATCCCGCCGCGATCCAAATTTTTATTTCACTCTCAAGCATCACCCTCTATCAATACTAGTCTCCCAAACCACGACTATCTCAGACAGTCAAAATGATAAATACAGGGTACTTTCAAAGAGTTTAACATAAATGTTACAAACAAAGAAATAACTGTAAATGTCAGAAAAAATTGATCTACCTGGGGAAAATATGAACAACTTACCTGACGATTCTTATAGTCACAAGAATTCATGCACAGATAAATCAAGAAATCTAAGCATTCACATAGTCCAGCCACTGCATGGTTCCATCCAAAGTGACAAAATAAATCGACAAGGAATGGTCCAACCTCGTCAGCTAAAAAATCAATGGCAAGTCAAGCATTAGAGCCAGTGAATTAAAAAGTGATCGACAGTTTGAAACGAACATTGGTCTGATAATCACGCACATTGTCCATTCCAACTTTGGGTTACAAACTTTTCCCTATACGCTTCAATTTTACCAACCAAATTTATAATAGATATAATAAGTGTACCCCGAAAGTCAGTAAAATTTCAATAAGTTCTCAGTAGAAGTGACATACGGACATCAAATCGAAGACATAATTATACATTCAACGATGGTGTTTGTATGACATAACTTACTAAATTGGCAATTAAGTATTTAACGTAGTTTGAAATTTATAAGGATTTTATTTTGAGGTAGTATTTATCAGGAACTGACATCAACTGGGGAAACATTGAAAATATGGGAGCACTGGAGAGCTGTTTCGTTCTAGTATGGGACTCCACAGCAGTACGCGCATACAACTTCCCCAGTGGTCGAAATCGAGACTTTCAGGTTTTGTAGCGGAAACTAGAGTCCTTACATTTACTGTGATTTGCTCACTAAACTAAGTGACATAACTGAGAGACAAAACAGTTTTAATACCAGGTGTACGCGACCAGCTAGCAGCATGCTTTTTGCTTTAGAAAAATGCAAGTCCTGTACCACATTATAATGTGAGGGGGGGCCACTGAATTCTGTAGAGACGTTATTGATAAACAGTTCAGCTCATAAAAAAGTTTATGACAAATCAGACTAGTGACACTGGTTGATGATTGAAAGTGAAGATGCTCTACCAACTGAACTACGAGGCCCGACAGAGAGCAACGGGCTGAAAACCTGGTGGTAGCTGGTTCGAATCCCGCGCGGTCCCAATTTTCATTTCACCTGCAATCATTACGCCAATATTAATACTAGTCTACCAAACCACGGCTGTCTCAGATAGTCAAAATGAAAATCTGACCATGTATTATTATTAAAACTAATACTACTAAAGCTTCGCAACCACCTGATAAGTATAAGCAAGCTCTGTTAATCTGTGAATTTCATAAATCAAAAGAAAGGCGCGTTAACGTTGCGAACTGAAATGAACTAAACACTCAGAAACTTTGTGCATGTTCATGTGGTAGGCAATGAGCCACGTCTATTGTGTGAGGGATAATGATACTACCTGGCTGCTCAAACTTCAGTAGGTGGAGAAGTGTCCGAAACCGTAACCCCACAGACTCAGTCAACTGCCTAAACCACATTAACGTTGCGTAATAAGCGACAGAATTTTGATTGCAAAATATGATAGAAATTTATCTGATGTTGTCTATTTGACAAAAAGTATTAGAAATGATCAAAATCAAAAACTTGCTCAAAACCTACCAGTTGATTCTGTTTGCCAATTCTTATTCAAAAATATGAGTGAAGTAACCCATAACCAACTTCCAAGCCAACTATCTTTAGGGCGTAACAAGCCCTTTGACTCAACTCCACGATCGAGTGTCTCCAACGTTTTGGTAGACTTCTCTTCATCTATAGGCATTTTTGACAAACCACACTGATTAATTTCACTATCCGTCATAAATGGTCCAGTTACTTGAGATAAGCCACGTACTAGAACTGTGTACAGTGCTAATCGGCGACGACTCAAATCACTAGGAAAATCGCTAAACTTGATTACAAAGAGGTATAGAACATAAAGACCAGCAGAAATTTGTTCAGATGATGCTCGAATAAGAGCTGGAACAGTTACTAATATAAGACGTCCCAATATACTGAGATTATGAGCATTATCCAAACGCATAAGCTGACGATTGCACGCTACCCATTGCACCAAAGATACCAAATGCTGACATAAAGCACTCTGAAATAGACATAAAAATAAACTGTGAAGAAAGCGAATAATGAAACCAAATTTTCGATCCTTATAAAACTAAGAACTGAGGTTTAAAATCCCGATAAAACATGAAAATTTTTGTCACTCCTGGAATGTTGAAAAGTTTCTGATTTATTTCAGAGGTTTTTCTCAACTATACTTTGTGATTAATTGTGAATTATAAATCTCGCAGTAAAATGGACTGAAAATTACTAAGCTAAATCAAAAGTTATAATAAACGTATATGGGACTTTAAATCAATGTTAAGACAATGAGGAAAATTTCCCGGTAATACAATCTACAACTAGTAAGTTAGACCTACAATGTTGATATATAAGTGGGAGGAAATCGATTTATCATCCAAACAGAAAAATCCAACGTCTACAATTTCACGAAGAGATATATTCATTAAGTGCACCATGATGAATTCAAGCTGTAACGTGAAGATATTACTACCAGATAGGAATAAGAAAGACACATGAACACAACACAAATTTCGAAACTTGTTATGCGACTACACAATGTACCCTGGTGTTAGAAGTCGGGTTTAAATCTAGAACTGCAACCAAGTACATGGGTAGTGAATTTCTGTGACCAGCAGTAAACTAACTATACAATCCTGGAATATGTATAAGCATTTCGTGGACAACTTTAGAATCTACTGTATTTAGCTGTTACGCTTGAACTCTTGACCCCACGTAAAGCATTCAGGAATATGGCTGGTATTCAGTGATGATTAGCAAAAGAAGAGAAAATATGAATAGAAGAATCAGTGTGACTGCCGAAAAAAAATTAATTTGATAGGCAGAATAATGATAATCAAAAACAACAACTAAAAGAACAGAAGAACGAAAAACAAAAAATAATTTGATAAAAAACGTTATTAGATTACGAATGTTGAGGCGGGAAGCCCACTAGTCGGATTTTAAGTTGCCACTCATCATGGACTGATATCAGTTAGAGGAACACTGGGAACCTGGGGGGACTGGACAACTGTTTCGTCCTAGTATGGGGACGCCCCAGCGGTGAGCATCCATGACCCCGTCGGGGATCGGACCCAGGACCTTCAGGTTCCGCAACCAGCACGTTATAATTAGTTTAGTCTGAGAATCATAAATTTGTGTCCTTCCACAAAGTTTAACACTCCCCCCCACCTCAGATCTACATGAATCTCAAAAACGTAAAGACAAAGACCTGCTTCTCTGAAAAGTCAACTGACCGGACAAAATCAATCTCGGAGGTTCTTCAATAAACAGATAAAGTAATTTAGATAAAAGTCGTTAGCTCATTACATACTTTGGAAAACCTGTGACTGGAATTTTCACGCCGGTTGACTAGAAACGGGAGATGGGTGAAAACTTACAGGAAACATAACTGATAGCTCAATGAAGCAAAGTAGAACTTGTTGATGTAAGGCCGGCCAGTCAGGATATATGGTGAGGCAAAGGAAAATTGGATCAACAGCAACTTGTGCAGCCGCTAATCCATAAAGTAAACCCGTATGATCTGCTGAAGCTTTCCAATGGGGACGTTTTCTACGCAGTCGTTTGATTCGATTCCCTTCAGCAAGTATAGCTGTAGTGCAAACCAGAAGTTTGTAAACACACTGACGTAAGAGAGGTCGGATACAAGTATTATTATCAGAAATTGATATATCGTCTGCTTTCTGATCCAAATGAATATCAGACATACTATCTGGTAAAGAATCCATATCACTATCCGTATCAGATTCTTCAAGAATATTTGTTTTATTTGCATTTAAAGCTGTCTGTTTTAAATGTTGCTCCATATTCAACATGCTAAAATACATTAAAATAAACAGAATGAAGCAGTTAAACAAACTAGGATTGTAAATTTAGTACATGATACAAACTCAGCTCCTTATCATTAGCATCAAAAGGTCATCTTTAAGACGTTTAGGGTACTGCAAACAATGAAGTGGAAAGTACACTTCGAAAAAGTTAATCCTGACAATTCTCATTTGATATTTTTTCTGATCTATATTAAAGTCTATGATCTATTGTGTAAGTTAATTACACCTCTTTTCATCAATAATACAACGAAACTATTAGATAACATGCGTATGTTAGCCGAACTCCTCTGTCTTGAAGTCAACAACCCTATATGAATCAAACAAAGCAGAAATAAATGATCATATGAAATGTTCATTTTTATACAACCTACCTAGTTAGATGATTAACTAGTGGAGTGATCAGATCATTCATTGGTAAACTCTGATCTTTTGGTTTCTTCCCATCAACGATTGAGGATCTTGTTTCCACGACTGTTGTTACTGATGTATTCAGATCGTTGGACTTCGATTTACTCTGGACTACAGAAGCAACTTCTTGTGATTGTAATCGTGGTATAGCTTCAGTGAGGATGGATAGCAATATACTTAGAAATCGTAAACGAATCCTATCAGAACATGATTGCTTATTCTGCACTTGTTCATTTCTTGAATCCGGATCAAGGTGTTTAGCTTGTCGTAGACGTAGACTACGCCTACGCGATTCACTGAAAATGGAAATATTTTTATCATTTATTTTTAAAATTACTATGATTGAACTAATAGTGACTTGAATGTCGTAAATGAAAAATCGGTAACAATTCTGGGCTATATTCATCAAAGAACCAAAACAAAGCAAATACAAAATGCGCTTATAAACTGATTTAGAGCAGATAGCTTAGAATTCAATGATGTGCATCATACACTAAAATTTGCAGTATACTGGCAATTAATGATGTGACATGAGAAAAAATAGAACGAAATCCTACTTGACATTAATACAAATAGCTCAATTAATAGAAACCCTACAAGTTGTTGATAATGAGTAGCTTTTACTTCATTCTGATAAATGACACCGCTGGCCGCTTTAATGTAATGATGAAATAGGTAGACCTATCACTCAGTAGTCTACAAACTGAACCCTTAAGTCACGATATACTTTTAAACCCATGCTGCATTATCTGGCCCAAGTAGTTAGTTGGTGTAGATAGTCGTCAAATTATGTAAAACTGACTATCTGGCATGTAGACCCACATTTGTCCACTCACTCACAGCACTACTTTAACCAACAAGTACAAGGTGACCTATTGTAATAAACAAAACTACATACCGAGCTTCTGCAACTCGAGCAAATAATGATCTGTCGTCACTGGAAACCGTTCTCGATGGATCCGACTTGATAAACATATAATCGAAATGTTCCGCATTCAGATTTAGCTTCAAAAATAGAAAATATATTGCTAGAAATCAGGTATGTTCACCAGACTTAAATATTAAATTATCAATAGAATAAGACAATAAAAAGGATAGTAAGGTATTTGCCAAGCTTCTAACTTCTTCAGTCACAATCGATGCGAATTTTGAATCCTAACTTTTTTTCAAATTACAGTATTACTTAACTGTGAAAAACCACCTTAATAGGCTATAGGTAGAAAACATAAATCCAGACATTGCAAAAGAAAGTTATTTTGCTTGATATCGCGATTCTTCTCTATACAACAACCCAAGAAAAAAGCTACTTCAGTGCACAAACTGCATTAAGCTCTAGGAATTACAACTCATTGAGTAGTATTGCAACCGTCTGTTCCAAATTGTATGGTTGCCAATTCGTTGCGTTTCAGAATTACGGTGTCTCGTAACCAATCCACATCAACAGTAGTAGTACCCGCAAGATTAAGGTGATTTGAGTGTGAGATCCACCTGACACCGACTAACCTACAACACTACCGTTGACGTCGGTAAGATATCTACTTATGACTAACAACAGTAGAGTATGAACAGTAGTTGTGCATATCATTTCAAGTGAACCAATTGCTAGCAGAAATCTAAAACCACTGGTCAATTCCATCTTACAACCCTTGTATTACTGACAGTACTAACAAACTATTGATTGAGATTCGGCAAATCCCACGTATACGTAAAATCCATAAACATTTGAATTGAATGCTTATTCATAGGAAAAATTACAAACTGCTGGACTGCTCCATGTAGGTAGTAGGAATTCTGACAAAGTAGGTACACTTTTCCTCTAGATGTGTTTTCAAGTAAGATTTAGTCAATATACACAAAAGAACTTCATTATTCAACGATGCAGATAAAAACTTACACGAGAAAGTACTTTGTGAATAGAATCGAAATCAGAATATTCGCTATTATGACCAAGATGATATAATGCATCAAGTATGTCAAACTGAGGTCCATGATAAGCATCCACACTCGATGTCTTCTTACGCAAAGTCTGTATATGAGAAGGCATCTTCCAAGAAGCTAATGTTCGCCCATGATTGATATCATTTGTAACAGTGAAGTGTTCCAGAGACAAGAATAATGCTCCATTGAGTCGTTTCAAACACAGACAATGTAGGTCAGTAAAAGGTTCATGTGGACAACGTATCACATTCAAAAGGCCAGACCAACCTCTCACAGAATCCTCAGATTGATTACATGGAATTAGCAGGATTTCATTCACAGTATCTTCGTTTAGTAAACGAAGACCAAACATCCAACAAACGATCGACAACTTATCCTCCAGTTTGCCGTCTGAATCGTCCAGTTTTAAAGGTTGACTATCAAAAACATCAAATTTAAAAATCAAGATTATGTGGTACAGAATATAAACACGATGTTACAATGTACACAAAACCTTATTCTACCGATTTTAGCAGTTTTGTACAGCGAACTCATGGCACTTTGAAGCGAACTTCAGAAAATCTCTACGGAAGTACTCCAACCGCAACAATGCATCTTCAGGGTTGAGGTGATGCCACAAGACCTAACAATTCGAACTGATGCAATAAAAACATCGAAATCTACATCACCAATAGGTAATTTCATCAATTTAACAATTGAGATATACATTCAAATGTAACAATTAAACACCATGATTAAAAGAACTTACCTAAAGAGCAAATGGACAACACCTTTAATCAACAGAGAAGCTGCTCTGTTTAGCGAATGCAATGGATCGCCAAAAAGTAGCTCTCTTACTTCATCAGAGAACATCTCGTCTATATGCGCCACAAAATTTGACTTCAAATTGACAGCGGTACAAAAGATAGAGAAATTTGATCCATGACTAGTATCTTTTGATGCATCCCCTTGGAACCAAAATCGCAAAATATCGTAGGCTTCCACACGAACGGCTGCAGCAGGATGTGACAAGGAGGCAACCAAAAGTGGTAAGGCTGCAAAGTAAAAATGATGTGACATGAAACGATAAATTAGAAACCAAGAAAAGGCAAGTCAGAATGAACAGAAGCGAAACCTTGATCACAATGGAAGATTTTAGTTGAGAAATTCACATTTGATTAATATGACTGCACATTAAACAATAGGTGATTTGAGGCAACCCTTCATTTAATCTAAACATTTGAGAGTATAATTAAAAAAGAAGATGGATTATCTGTTTTGAGTCCTAAATGTCAGGTTACTCACTCACAAAACACTGACTTCTAACAGGTTCACAAATTATTATGAGATTCTGGATGACTTAAAGAGGTTACCGAAAACTAATGGTTTACATTATGAAATTCCAGACAGAATTAATCTAGCGCTTATTGGTGACCAGCTTTCAGAGATGATTCTCGAAGTTCCAATGAGAAGTCGTGACCAATGGAGTCAACCAAGTCGAACATGGGGACAGTTAATCAAGGAGGACATTGGATGTAAGTTACGCTATATATCGTGAACTGGCAAAGGTAAGAAATATGAACCATTGAATTCCAGCTCAGTGGTTCAATGGTAAAGTGCTGGTCACAGAACCTGAAGGTCCTGGGTTCGATACCTGGTGGAATCATGGGTGCGCACTGCTGAGTCCCATACTAGGACAAAACGGCTGCTGTCCAGTGCTCCTAAGTTTCCAATGTTTCTCCAACTGATGTCAGTCCATGATAAATTCCAACGTAAAACCAATTAATTAATCTCCATAAAAAAAACCCAAATAGAATTAACTGGATAAAAGATGAAAATTGGCGGTTGAATTATGAAAATTTCCAGAGCTATTTATTAGACGACGAAAATTGGTTCATTAATGTGTTGAATACATTTTGGGATCATTTTTGTCAACACCTTTGATGGATGTATATCCTGATGAAAAAATACTAATGCAAAACTAAAATGAACTTTCTAGTAGTAAAATGAAGATTATAAAAAGTTGCATTACTAGTGCTAATGATATGCTAAATGAAACAAAATCAGATGAAGAGTACATCGGTCCCTTATTTTCAGAAAGATAAGTTAGTGATAGTAGATAACTGATACTGGGTGATGATTGAATGTGAAATGCAAATTTGGACCGCGGCGGGATTCGAACCAGTGACCACCGGGTTTCCGGCCAGATGCTCTAATAACTGAGCTACGAGGTTCGACTGCTGACCAGATTTTTTTTCACTTCAATCACTAAGGGTTTTGCCCGACTTCCAAAAGAAATCGTGATGAGTTACTACCGCTTGATCGTACTCACACTGGCTGCCTAGTGTGAAATAGAAATCTGGTCGGCAGTCGGACCTCGTAGCTCAGTTGGTAGAGCATCCGGCGCGAAACCCGGCGGCCTCTGGTTCGAATCCCACCGTAGTTCAAATTTGCATTTCACCTCCAATCACTACCCTCCACCAATACTAATCTGCCAAACCACGGCTATTTCAGACAGTCAAAATGATGATAGTCGATAAGTAACTGAAGTACTGACCAAGTAAAGTGTAGCCAAAAAAGGAATTTTAAAGTGACTTTACTCTTGATATTATTATGAACTAAAAGTATTCAAAATGGTCTACCTTACAATTATTATCCTGTGGCGTGATATTTTTCTGGTAACTTTATTAAGTCTATTCATCAAAGTAAAAAATTTACTTCCACTCAACTATAATGAAGCATAGTAAAGATGGATAGCGGCTAGCAGTGGAATCCAGGATGTGCATTTCGTCATATTTGGGACACGTCAGCTGGACGTACCTGCCTCCCAGTGAGTGACATCGTTCCCACTGGGAGTCCCAAATAGGACGAAATCCGCATCCTGGATTCCACTGCTAGCCACTATCCATCTTTACTATGATTAGATCACAGGTAAGATGGAGGCATCCTCACAAGGGCCCATATGGCAATAGGGGCCGATCAATTCGGTCCAATCAACGACGGTATAATACAAGCAACTATACTATAATGAAGCATAATGAAAACTAACCATTATCGATGCCTTTTTGTAACAAATCATAAGAGGATGCCAGTGATTTGCGGAAGGATTTCCGTTTAGGAGCATTGGGTGTATCTGCTGTTGTCTGTACGTCTTTGCTAGAATCGAGATGAACCTTTATTGCAGATTTAGCCAATCTCAGCAGCCTAATATAATGCCGAATTTCTACTTTTGAATAATGCATTCTATCCTGCTCAGAATCACGTTGACTGAAGGTTTCACTGGGAAATATATCAAGTAACACATCGGATAGCCAACATTCAGTTTTTGGTAATGGTTCACTGGGACAAGACGATACACAATTCATTACACAACAGCCCACATTCGGGATACTTGAAAGGAATGCATGAATTTCATCAATTTTTGGTCTAAGCTCATCTTTAAAAGAGATGTCGTTTGCACCGATTTGTTTTGTAGTTTTCAATGCTTCATTTTTCACACTAATATCAACAAACTGGGGGGAAATGTACAAAACAAATCAGTATTACCGATACACATTTACAATACAAAATATACAGTATTCATCAGTATAAGTGAGTCATTTTACGAAACCAATGAGTGTGTGCAACTAAATTCGGACGATTTTGAAGATGTTCACTTGTTTAGCAGATATCCGCTGAAATAAACTGACAATAATTTAGCGCTTCATTAGGCTAAATATTATTGAAGTCTTACCAGGAATCACAAGAATTGAGTTACGGATCGACAAAATTTTCAGCTCAAGATTTAGCAGTCGCTCATTGGTCTTTGGAATTAGTTTCCACCCAATGCCCCATGGGTTCAAATCCTGTTTTACCCACCTACGTTTGGACGGCTAAGTATCAGTAGGCCTCACACAACAGAGATGTCACTCATCATCTAGCACATGAATGTACACGTGGTTGCTGAGAGAAATAGTTATCCAATGTCATAAAATTTACGTGCATGTTACAGTTTACTCAACTGAAAACCAACCTGTGTAGCCTTTCGAACATAATCAAACTTTTGCATACATTCCGCCGCCAACTTGTTGGGATCTTCACAATCATTAATCAATGCTGACTGTTCCTCTTCTATTATGCGCCGCTCTTCTGAAGATAGTTTGGAAAGTAATGCACTCTGTAGTTCCGCGAGTTTTGGAGGTAATAAAAGAATACGCTGATTTCGCATCAATTGCATAACAATACGCATTGATTCCCACTCACCAGAAACGCGAGTTTTCTTCAAAATGCAAGCTATCCAGTCAAGGACCAGCTCTTGATTAATTACCAGCCTTAAACTGAAACGTAACACAATTAAAAATGTTGCACACTGAAAAGGAATAACGTTTGTAGATTGCAGCCCTTGTTTTATAACATCCTGAAAAGAATCCAACACCTCGATAAGCTTTTTCTCGGATGTACCAGAGTCACATAACGCAGTTACAATCCCTAATATAAAATTTGTCATGTCATTCAACCTTGACGGCACCAAATTCCGACAATGCTGTAAAGAAAAAATTCACATCGTAGCAAGCTTGGATAAAGCGAAAATTATTACTTAAAAGAATCCATAAAGTAAGATAGAAAACAGTTGGTAAAGCATAAGAAACGTTGTCATCATTTCACAAACGTTAGATTAATATCTAAATACTGCGCAACAGAACGTATACAGTATCATAACGTTATGTATATCTATCCCAAAACTTTAGTCTCCAGTCTAAACAACAACCTTTCAAAACCTAAATGTGGGATTCCCATTCATTCTGTTAGCCTGAATGTTTAGTTCATACATTTAGATAACGTTCAACCAACTTTAAAATGGTATCAACCAGTGGAAGAGATACATTTTATTCATTTAACACTAGGTTTTTTTTAAATTAGCTAGTTATACGATTCTACGCCCGGTGGTGAACACGGCCAACTTCAATTCCAAACAGCGCCGACTAACGACCTTGTCAGTAAAACTTACGGCTATGATTATTTGAAATAGAGGGTAAGAAAAATAGGACGTAATATTATATGATAACTGAAAGATTACGATACCAGAAGAAGTTCTATCCCTATTATGCCCTGTGTATTCGAAGAGAATAATGGCATATTATGTGGTTTAGTGTCGATTGAAACCCACTCATCTACCATGTGCACGCCTACGCAACTGGTAATGAGTCACACTTATTGTGTGAGGTCTAATGATACCCTAACCTGGCTGCTCGAACCTCGGTAGGTGGAGCGGGGTTTGAACCCACGATCCATCGATTGAAAGCCGACTCCCTAATCCAATGAACTACAACTCCACGTTCGACGTGAAAATTTTAAGAAATCAAAGGATGTGTATATAAATGTCCACTAATTCCAAGCGACCATTCACATAACACAACATTTATCAACTTAAAAAGTGATGTTTAAACCAATGAAATTATGATAATTATTAAAACTGTTAAAATACAGTTTTGCACAAACTCGAAAATCTACACGCGAAAACGGGACTTCAAGTGAATGTAGAGAAGACAGGGTGATGAAGATACCCAACCAACAACAACAACAACAAGCACTAATCACCATTAACGTGAGAAACCTAAAGGAAGTAATCTCTTCCACCTACCTAGGTAGCATCGTTTCAACTACAGGCGGCACAGACGAGGGTGTCAAAAACAGAATCGGAAAAGCAAGACAGACCTTTGTCCATTAATCTGAAATAAGTGTGGAGATCTACTGCATTTAGCAGAAAGCGTGAACAAGATCCCGATTTTCAACACCAATGTCAAGTCAGAAACTTGGTGTCACGAAAAGCATTTCCAATAAACTGCAGACATTCATCAACAGCTGCCTACGCTCACTCAATACTGAAGATGAGATCAGATGGCCAGAAAGAATAAGCAACAAGGAACTCTGGCTGGTAACGAACCAACCAAGAAGACATTGCCCAACAAATATGAAGGAAGTGGAGATGGATTGGGCATACACTGAGGAGGCCGAGTGGGGACATCACGCGCCAGGCCAGGTTGTCGAGTGGAATCCAAAGGGGAAACGACGAGTTGGGCGTCGAGGCGAGGGTGACATGGAGGAGATGGCGTGAGGAAGAAATGAAAGCTTATGGGCAGTCGTGGCACCAGGTTGGAAAGACTGTAGAGAACAGAGTGCAATGGAGGCGTGCTACTGAAGCCCTGTGTTCCACTAGGAACTCAAGGGGAAAATAATAATAATAATACTTTCCACTTATTCTTATTACTCGATAAGCAAATCTGTTTGCGCATCTAATTTAACAATAGGAAATAGGAACACTACGGAAAGCACATTTTATTGTTTAAAATATCATAAACAGACGGTTAAAGCACTTTAAGTTGGCATATAGTATGGGAGCCAAGAAGATTTCGCATCTTTTTTTATATCTGACTGCACAAAATTTCAAATTAATTATAAATCAGACAAGTGAATGAAGTGTTCAACTTCAAATGAATAAATATACGCAATACATATATAATTTATAGTTTGAGTAACTATCAATTTACTTAATTGTTTCGAAATAACCTTACGGAGTGTTTCAAAGCATAAGCTTATTAATATCTTTAGAAAGTCACTAAAGCTTTGTAGAACAAAGTATAATAGAATCACAATAAACTTACATCAACGTAACTGATGACAGTTGTACAGATAAATGGAATAAGAGTATGTTCTCGAAGACACAAACGAGTGAATTCTTGTCGTGATACACTTTTACCGCTCTCCTACAAAAAAATAAATACTTTATGAAACAAAAATGTAACAAAAATCACTTTCACAATCGTATACTAGATAAATGGCATAAATATGACTATTCTATATTATCATACTGATAAAAAAAAACTTAAGCTCGTAGCTAAACTTACGGTAGTACCTACCTAGATGTTCTTAGCATATGAAACAAGATACACATACATAAATAAGGGAATAAAAATCGACATATCATGAAAACCACAGTTCTTAGAATATCACAATTCTGTCTAGAATGTCCCTTCAAGTCTAGCTACTTATGATGTTCTATTTTCGTGAATGCTAGTAAATTTCTCATGAGCATCTATGATCACGAATCTAAGCAACGTACCTACCTATATTACGCGCAGGTGTGATGACAGAAAATGAATAATTAACCTATTCGCCAAGTAACCAAATATTAAACGAATATCAAATAACTTTCAGCACCTTCACTGAAAACTCAATAAATCTCTTTAGGGAAAAGAGTCGAAGTCTTAAAACGTCTTTCTTCATAGTTGAAGTGAAAACATCTATAACTGTACCCTGGGGGTGACTGTTTAAGCCACAACGTAATCCTCAGTCTCTACATTCGTAAAAATATTATACTAGAAACATCCTAAATTCGATTCATGCGTAAATCTTGTTATACCAACAGAAGCGAAACATGAATCAAAGGTAAGCATGAACGATTGCATTATTTTATTTCAAAAGACAATTTACTTAAACTTACTTTGTAGCTCTACTGCATAGCTTGATTCTAGAGCTTTTTACTGATTCATGACTCATCTCAGTATGGTTCTGACATGACTTTGTGTTAGGTGAAACTAATTCCCCAATTTCTATGTATGAAGCTAGTTACTTCATATTTGCGAATTACGGTAAGTTGCAGATATGCAGTCCAGTTGTATGTATGCATGTACATATGTCACGAAGACAGTAGGACAGTCAGTGTCAGCTAATCTATTGCACAAAGTTGGGAGACAAATCGTGCGGATGAAATAATGTACATGAGATGCAGCAATTATGTGCGGAACTAATCACATGCGAAGTCAGTATTACTGGTGGATAGGAGAAATTATGAAGTTATAAAAAACCGTCAGTGATAACTCAGGCAAGGGTTATTTGTTCACACATACGTCCCCTAACAGATCAACAGCATGGATAACTTGGTATTCTTGCTCTCAGACAGGAATTTACACCTAAACTAATTGGGCTTGGTTGAGACATAATAGTTACTTTCGCCGACTAGAAGTCGGGAACTGGCAATAACATGAATCATTTCAATCACTCTGGCACGAAGACACAAATTAAGCCAATAAGAACTTTACTTGTTATGATTAATTGATTAATCTACAAATTATAACAAACATCTTTAGGGAATCAAGCAAGAAACTAAAATTTATCACATTTTGCAGGTTTACTGCTTGATTCAAATACTTTAATTCATTGTGAGAATCATATAATAAGCATGTTCTACTTCATTAAGCTGTAGTCTACTTGGTGGCTAGCACTTAAATCTAAGATACGCATTTCGTCCTACTTGGGATTCGTCAGCTGGATTTCCCTTCACCCCAGTGAGTGATGGTGTTCCCCTGAGACTATAAAACCAGTGTCCATAGCTTCAAACGCCAAAGTGCTATCCACCAGGCCATTTTATTTCAGCTGAGTGATAGGCGAATAAGGATGTAACTAACGAAAACTCTTCAAACTACTTAGTCATTCAAAAAATAATGGATATAAGGCTTGACAAAATCAAATGTTAGGGAAAGAAACAGGAAAAACAGAAAAGTGAACCGACATACAGCATATGGTTTCAACCATTGGAAACCAGTAGGCAACTGCTTAAAATTCAAAATTTGGATGAATTTGACGAACAGACCAGTTTCATGGTATGGGATGATGCAACGGATGAAATCTTCAACGTAATGAAGGTGAATTTGAAATCTAAATAGAGGACTATAGATATAAATTTGTTGACTTACTTGTACACTAGCCACTCCAAAGCTTCGACAGCGAAAAAATGTTTCAGAAAGGATGAAATGTAACAGAGAAACTTCGATATTTCATCATCAAGCTTTTCTTTTTCCTGTGCTAAGAGATTGCACATTTCCAACTGACATGAAGTTACAGCGAATAGTGTATTCTCGAATGGAATAAAAGCACTTTCTATTTTGCACAGTTTTTTAAACGACTTTACACCTATTTACAACGTCAATAAAATGCATGACGTAAACTTACTGTTTGAGTAACAAGACTGAGTGTCAATTTTCGAAGCATTTTCGTAAATTAAGGATTTGCGACGAACATTATCAACCACATAGCTAGATGTAATCGGGACAGCCAAAGCTCTTAACTGATCCGTTAAGGACATCTGAAAGGAAAATGAATGTTGAGTTTGCAAGACCAATAAAGTATGAACAAGTTAAAAAGTGTGACTGGTATTTCCATATTCTAATAACTCTCAAGGTTTATAAGCACTTTGTGTTCATTACTTCTAGAGGGACTTTATGTCCTCCGATGATGAGATGAACTTGCATTCTTAATGAGAATGATGATCAGCCGGAAATAATCGAGTATTAAGATGATGTAAGATATTTTCAGCTCAGGTGGGTGATCTTCGTGGATTGTTTATTTCAGCTTAAAGAATGCAAGACCACAATAATCAAGTTACTTAAATGGAGACGATGAGAGCAATAGATTCTCAGTAATGAAGCTAGAGTTGTGGCTTATTGGCGGTAGGAAATTACTCCTAACAATAACGGAGGTAATAGGTAGTGTATGTAAGCCAAAGTGGTCTACGTCACTGATTATTCCAATCTATAGGAAGGGAGAGAAACCTTGTAACAACTATAGGGGAATTATTTTAACCAAGATCGCGTCCAAGATCTTGGGGTTGAGCTACGTGACGCCCTACTGGAGCTCGAGAAAACCTGGCAGGTTCCAGACCTGGATATGGATGCATAGATCCTACTTTTACCCTTCGACAGGTTCTGGAACGCAGGCATACTTACCGGCTACCGACAGTTGCAATATTTCTTGACCTGAAGACAGCAGCGACTCATCTCGACCATGAGGTTTTGTGGCAGTGTCCAACTGCGAGATAAGTATCGAGCGACTATATACCGCCAATCAAAGCTCTTTAGTTGATCTCACGCAGTAGTGCAAAGGCTTATGGAGAGCTGTTATGTGAATGATAACTAGTGGTGACCGATAGGGATGTCAACTATCACCGTTCCTATTTGATTTCGTAACAGATCTAACAATGGAGATGATCTGAGGTACCTTTAAATTCACAGGGATTGATCTACCTCTGGAGGACATCTAGTTGACTTACAGTACGCAGATGACATTGTTGATGCTGACAAAACCCTAAGTTTTCTGAACTCCTTGAACAGAAATCTGAGTATGTTTCGCACGCATTTCGCTTCTGTCAAACGTAAGATGATGCTTCAAAACCGGTCTGTAGCTACTCAGTTTAAGGATAGAGAGTGAAGAGGGGAAATGCGTCGACCACTCCACTTATCTGAGGAGTCGCATCAGCCCGGTTGCCTACGAAATCTCAGCGTGGATATATAAGGCCGGTTTGGTACTTGCCAACTTGCGTCATCCGTGGAGCCGACTGGCGAAACATACAGCTATCTATCAAAGGACGAGTGTACTGAGCTGCAATTCACTTTGTCCTTTTATATGGCTGAGACAGGCGTTAAAAGTAGGAGATACGAAGCAGTTACAGGTTTTTGACCACAGGTGTCATCGCAGCTCTGCTCGTACATGGCGGAATCAACATGTTAGCAAAGCCGAAGTTTCGTGGAAGGTACTAAGCAAGGAAGGCAAGTTAGTTGATGAGGTTTTGAACCTTCGGCGAATGAAAAAACTGCAACATGTGTCGCTCATATCTAGCCACCGCCTACCTCGACATCCAATGCCAGAAGTTGGATTAGGTTGGAATATGGTCCAGGGTGGCCAGACCAAGACGTGAAACCAATCCATGAAGTCTTTGACGGTTGGTCTAAGTCGTGTAGGATCCCACAAACTAGCTTGGCTGGGGTCTCCGAGCCGACAGAAATCAGTGGTTGAGGACTCTTGGTGGTGGATGAAAACCAGTCATGAGGGCGCATACATATTTACTCTAACGTCTTTTAAAGCTTGAATGCTATCACTAACCTCAATTTTCAAATTCACTCCCACTCCCCATACACCTTTGTCTACTTTGATATCAATTATTTCGTATCTTGTTCTTTGTAAGCTACTGTGAAGTGTGGCAACTTGGATCAACGCATTTTTTGCGAGGTTCTACGTTGATTTTGTCTGTCTGTCTGTCTGAATAACCAGTAGTCCATGATGATGGCGAGTTCTCTAAGCGGAGAGGGGATTAGAAAAGGTTAGCTCAAAAGTAGCACACTCCTACCCGTCGTTCGGTATTTCCCTGCCGATGATGTAAGTTTTGTGGCTGGATTCAGTGCAATCGAAAGGAAGTCTTAAACTTGCAAAACCAAGGTAGGTATTTGACAAGTTCTCAATCAGATGTCCCTTAGAACTCTATGTTCACTCACGACTAATCCAGTTTTTCTTCACGCATCTCAACAAGCAACCTTCTATGTGGGAAGCTGGAAAGTATGAATCGCCCTCTCTTGTTACCACTCAAGTTCCCTCAGACCATTATCAATCTTCACTGTTCTTGCCTTGTAATCTTTCTTCACCCCAATCGGTGAATATTTCTACATTATATTTAATTTCTTCTAGTTCTGCAGCTCTTAGTAACGATTGGAGTTCACAAACGTATCTCTGGTTTTCTGAAATTGCACGCCAAACAACATATTAGGACTTTTAATGTCTGCACCTTCTGTGGAATCGGACAAGATTAGCTAGCCAGAAATCTAACATTTCCAGTTATGAAGGTGCACTATGTTTTGAGAAAGGCACACAGAACCCATGAGGTTACTTACTTCACCTTACCCGGACAATTCAATGAACCTGCAAGATACCCTTTTCCGATTGCTGAAGGTTAGATGGAGTTGTGGCTCATTGATTTAGGGAGTTGGTTTTCTACCAATGAGCAACGGATTCGAACACCACACCACACCACTTATCGAGGTTAAGGCAGTCAGGTAGTATCAGTAGCCCTCACAGAGTGTGCTTCAATGCTCACTGCAAGAATTTGCACAAGGTAGCTGAGTGGATTTGGACTTTTTTTCCGTCTTTCAGGTGTATGCGTAGCATTTAGTCCCGAAGCAGAAAGTGTGCTCCTCAACTGTATCTTAGGTGTGCACTGTCCGACTAAATGGGAGACTGAGGAATAAGATTAGTGAAATTAGCTGATTCTTACATGCGATTTATCCCTACGCACCCGCGTAACTGCAGTTCAAATAAAGTAAAAGATGAGTTCTCCCGAAAACTAACTTTCCATTTAAAGTCAAACGCTCAGATAAGGTTGTCGTAGCAACTTTTTTTCAATGGTTAGGCTAACATAGTTGGAAAGGGACTTGACTCAGATGGTACTTTTGGAATCCCAGATGAACGGACAGCTAACGGCAATCATCAGCAACAGTTGTGCTCAAACAAACCATATATTTCTGACCAACATGAACTTCAAACACAAAAAAAAGCATTGTTTGATGTAGCCTCCACAGACCTCAACTTAACGGTGAACACAGATAGACCATACTAATCTGTTATCGCTTAAGAGGGTCGGTAGAAGATCGCTACTCTTTCTTGAACATGTGTTTGGACGGTGATCTCTCGTCTAGTGCAAAACAGACAGAAAAACTAAGACGACAAGACAATTACGATGACAGCTCAACGATGAGAATGCTAAGGTTGTTATTAACATAGAAATGGCTATAGATAAGCCATCAAGATGCCATTTATTCTAAAGGACACTGGCATTAACTCGTCCCCTATATACACAGAGTCAAGAAACTAACTGACTTTTAGTAACAAATAAACAAAAAGGACCAGAAGGTCTCAGCACGATAACGCATTCTTTCAGGTTCCCAGTTCAATGAAGAAAGCAAACAGTGCAAATCCAGATTGACAAAAGCCTACTAACTGAACGCGAACAGTACTGGCTAACGAAAGTAAGCGATGCAAAAGCCTGCGGCGATAAGTAGCAGTAGACAGTTACTTAAACTTCATATGAGATTGTTTATTTGATACATCACAGTGACACAATATCATTTACTGAGAGACGTTTCGAGTAGAACTTTTTATTCATAATCACGTCAAGGTAATCACACAACCTCCAAACTCCACTACCATTGAAAGATGAGAGAGAAGAACTGTTGGAATATGAGTGAAGTCTGAAAGTTGTATAGCTACGTTGAACGTTGAGAAAATTCTACTTGAACGTCATTCAGTAAGTAACACTGCATCAATGTGCACTAAATAAACAGTTCCATATGGAATTATGCTCTATAAGAGTCCCCCTTAAAAACCGCAGCAAAAGTTAATGGTTGGTGAGAGAAGGATGGGTCTGCGATTGACTCGAAAAGATTCCTAGAGCGATGGATGGAACGCCTCAAGAAACAGTTGAACTGGATTCCATTCCTCGCCATTCGGCTGCATTGTTAATAGAACACTGAGGATGTTAAAAACCTGGAACGAAGAAAGATAAAACGACTAGGTGGGCAAGCATTAGAGGCATTTAAGGACGATGATGGCAGATCATTGCTTGGATTAACTAAAATGTCAGCAAGAGTATAGGAACCAGATATGATCTCTGAATTGTCTCAACCACTGATTTTGCTGATTCTCAAGAAGGAAAAGAAATTATTTTGTGATAACCCCAGGGGAATCAGCATGACAATCATTATGTCCGAAATTCTAAAATCTACAATTGCCGGCTGTCTAGGTAAAACTTGACAACAGCAACCCCGGAAAACCAGGTAAGTTTCGAGCCTAACCACCAATGTAAGAACTGTATATTCTCTCCTACGTCAATCAAGAGACCCAAAAGTAATCGCTTTGACTGGGGTGGGTGCTAGATAAATACATCACCCTATTGAGAGCTTTTTGAACAACCGTGGGAGTGTTGCAGCCTACGGTACCAGGTGAATCACATACATTCCCTGGCATAGATCAAGGATGTCTACTCTATCTATTTTCACTTAACTTCGCTATATTGGCCTTCGCTAATTAACAGAACCTAAGGTGTGAAATCCAGTTGTCTACTGAGAGTCGAGCGTACTTTGCTACAGTTTGCTCTGCCCTACTATGTAGTTGTAAAACATGACTATTTAAGGTAGACACGACAAAGCCCCTGGTGATCGACGACCGTGTTACCTCTGCAGCATAAATTGCCGTGGAACCACCAAATCAGTAATGCACAGGTCAGGCGGAGAGATTTGGATGAAGCCAGTTGATGAAGTTGTAAACTTCCACCGATTCAAGTCACTGGGACATGTGTTACGCGCACCAAGTTGTGAGCTTCCCCGTTGCGTAATAATAGCTGAAGTAGGTTCAGGTTGGGCAAGAGGTGGCTAAACTAAAACATGACATCAATCCACCAAATCTATGACAGTTGTTATAACCCGTGCACGGAAATATAGACTTCCAGGTTGGAGTTCATGTGACAACTGAAGTTGTTGGTTAGAGACCCAAATTGATATGACTGAAAACCTATCTTAATGGCACACCTTAATCTACAAATTATCCTCACCTTAACCGTCATACCAAATTTTGTTAGTTTATTCCTCGTTCTTCCCTTTTTATAACTTTCTGCCAACTTTGATTATCTTTGTACCTTGTGTTTTGGATGAGTTGGTGTGTGGCAACTAGAACTGTCGCGCAGTAATGCTAACACTGAGAGACTGATGCCCAACATATCTAGGACAACATTCGTGTTTTAAATATGAAGAGATATACCATAGTGGGTACAGAGGGGAAAACCTAAGGTGTCCAAAGGTTTCTCCAGCATCTTCAACGAAAAGTGACTCCTTCCATCAAATCTGTTTTCATTGTTTTATCCTAAAAAGTGGGTTATTTAATTTGAGCACATCATATATCAGATACTGATTTAGTTAGTCGATATTAACACGAAACCTGGCATTACGAAGTAACGTTTCGAGTTGACACACTCAACAATGTCGCATGGGGGATACACCAAGATGAAAGAAAAATATTTGTATGAAAGACAGAAGTCAAAAGTGGTTGATTTGTGACGAGACAGCAAGGAAAAATGAGACAATAATAAAACTCAGTATGACTATGATAGCAATATTGTGTGCAAACATCTACGTCACTGCGATCGATTTTGAGCCATATCACCTTGCATCTAATCCCAGGTTTCGGTTGTCAAGCAGAGACAGACAGACAAAATCAATGAAGAACCTGGCAGAGATGTGCATCAGTTCAAGTCACACTGCACAGCATCCAAAGAACAAGTGGATAGGGAAAGAGTGGCATTAAAGTGAGAGAAGGGATCTGAAAATCAAGATTAGTGAAAATGCTTAAGCCCTAGAAGACGTCAAGGAGTGAATACATCTGGATCCCTGTGACCAATTTTCAGCTATGTCAACAACCACCGATCCCTATTATCCCAAGAACTCTGGCCAAGCACCTTATACCTCCCTACACGGCTCAGAACAAGTCAGAAACTCTATGTGCTGGTATTACGTCCTGGTCTGGCGATTCTAAGTTTTCGCATCCAACTTCAGTTTATGTTACACTTTGAGGTAGACGTTGCCGGCATACGCAAGACATGTTCTAGCTATCTCAGAGGATGAATATTTACAACTACATAGAATGACTTTCCTCTTCTGCTGAAGATTCCACATCCGACTTCTACACTGTTGAGGCAGTGATACCAATGAACAGTCTGTTCTAAGAATCCCAAGGTGATAAAACAACTGAAGCCTCTTTGAGGTACCTATCTTCTATGGCCGTAGCTACACAGAACAGTGCAAACTGCAGCGCTGTGCACTGAATAGGTAATCAGATGTCACTGTAGTGCCATGAATGGCATACTCTGGAGGGTGGTAGTAGGCCCTCAATACAGTGCTGACCTTGAAAAAGAGCCTAATAATCAGTGTTTTGAGCCTAGAGTAAGTCATTTTTTTCCCTTCCATATGCTGAAATCCAGGTTAAAATGTGACACTGTGGTTAGCATACAAGTGACAGATCGCAGTTCGGAGCGAGCTGCACATCCTGTCTTCTAGGGTAAGACAACACGAACACTACACATACACACAATGGACAAACAAGTGTACAACCTCAGTGTAATTTACTGAAATTATACCGAAACTTTTCATAGACACTACCGATAAAATCGTCACTAGCTTGCAAGTAATGCTAGCTGCTTATGGTCACTGGACGACAGTTTCAAGGATAGCAGACTACCAAAGGCACGCCTACTTTATGTCTTTATTAACACTATTTACTTAAGATGATGTCATAAAACTCAGAAACCACGGTCGGATATTCCAAGTTTGAAAAACCTTCTTTGTAAAGATGTGAATCAGAGATTTGTTTATGCACAAAATGTCCGCTCCCATTGCTGATGATTTCATAGCGATACTTAATCCCCAACTTCTATCACTTGACACTAATAATATTCTCCATCGGCCGACAATCATCAGTTACCGAGAAGTGAACATAAACTGACATTTCCTACGCAAATATATCCTCCTGCTAATCTCGAACAAACGATGGCTACATAAGATAATGTTGATATACTAAAGCTATCATGAGCAAACATAACACTGCGTTTTTCGGCAGCTAATTAAACTAGCTTTCGCTTTTTAAAGCTAAGAATTACTTAGCTTGGTAAAAAAGGATTCAGCGAGGTGCAACAGTATTATCAGCCAATATACGTCTATGAAGAAAATAAGATCACCATGAACACTATTAACTTATAAATGGTACTGTATAGTACGCATACCTTGTTATATTACTAAATGAACACAGGCACACAATCAAGAAATTTTACAGACCACCACGCGCGTATGACAAATGCCGCGGACGAAAAGCGGGGCTTTCAAATATCCCAGCTGCTCAATGACTCGTTTTGAAATACCCCTGTAACCATTAAAATGAATCACCCGTCTTGGTTATTTCTGCCTGACAAGCACCTTTTCGTAAAATCAAGGTACCTAAACAACTATTTCAGTTATTTCTGGAACTACGTCCGGAGTCACAATTGTTCAATGGCCAATATCTTCAAACAAGCTTGTGTTAACTAAGTGACTTCTTCACGCTTGCATCTGAGTTTTGGATGTAGTAGATCTATTCACTAGTCTTTTGTAGCTGTCGTATACCCTGGCGTTGGGGAAGTGTGGTACAGATGGGTTCCTAAAATGTGTCGCTAGACCGTTCTTCAGACTCGTTGTAAAAAGAAGATAGGAGGAATTAAAAGGTATCCGGAGAAAACGAGATGAAGCATCTGGAAAAATTTGGGTTGACGACCAAAAAAGAAATGGGAAACCCGGGCAGATTCCGGTAATATGCGAATTGTGACGAAGAAAACTTTGTAAATAGGTTGAAATCGTGCAACCGGAGGGAAGAGAAAAGGCGAACAAGATAATGGTTATGATGGCAGGAATAAAAATAATAATTTAATCAGTGATTGTATGGCAAGCGAAAGCGATAAGTCTAACAGGAAAATGTAAGGTTGAGCCAAGTGGCAGTACAAGAGTAGTTATTGGGGTGACTGTGTCCGAATAACGTGGAATTAGTTGGTTGTCTTGACCCACCAATTATCCCTTGTGGATGAGGCCAAGCCATGTTTCCTGAAGCGCCCCTTGTGGCTTACCTCTGGAATTTCTTTAGGAGGTTCACATCTGCTTTCAGGTGTAGTGGTAAGATGACGTTGTGGGCTTCAAAGTGATGTCGCATATAGGTCTTGTGAAGCGTTAGAAGTACATGTGGAGTGAAGCAGTTGGACGGAAACGGTATAAATGCATATTTAGCAGGCTTAAATCAGTGCTAACCACATTCTTGAAAATGCACAGCAAACTGGGGCACTTGAGAGGTGAGTTTATGGTTAGAACGTTACCGCTTTGCAGACAACAAACAATAAAACAGCTTTACGCCAACATCATCGTCCAGTAAAATGAGGCAAGTTATGCTCGCTCGCGGCTCGCAAGGACCGTGTGTACAATATTGACTCCACCACCCCTTGGTATGCACGCACATCTGGCAACACCCACGACCACTGCGCCCCCACCCATGCCATGGTCTCGTCTGATTTATCGCGCAAAAGCGACCCGCACTACCGAATGGCATGAAAGCCACAATCACTTCACAAAAAGAAAAGTGGGTGCTGGGTGGAATGTTTGTTTGTAGAAGGAGTCAGCGATAAGTATGCAAAGCTAAGCTAAGGGGGTATTAGGATTTAAGCTCAATAACTGGCATCAGGGACATGATGACCACGAATAGGCATGGGATGGTAAAGAATGAGACAAAAATTACCTACCATATGATGGCGGTGTGTTTTCGTGTTCCCCATATTCTTTAATTTTTTGACTACTTTCAGTTTAGAGGATTCGGCAGTACAATGTGTTTCATTTTCGTTGGCGTAGAACTGAGTTGATTGTGTGAGCAGATAACTTATATACGAGCATGCTAGTTCGCATTATTTATAGCCGTGGGAAGTTCTGTGAAGTTCTTCCTTTAGATAGAGTCCACCGCCCTGTTCTGCTTTAACCTCGTCCGTTGGAATTGGTGCGCGTAGACACAGCACATAACGGTAGCAGTAAACAATGCTGTCTGGCAGTGTGACATTCCTAATAAACAAACTAAAATGAGGGATGCATGACAACCGCCAGTGCAAAAAAGACCTTCGGTATGGTTATAAAAAGAAAATGAATCAGATCAAACAGGGCAAATAATCAGTGTCTTGGTACACATTACAAGGACAGAACGAAGTCACACCCAGTGACTTATGCAAGGAAACAAGTGAACATAGACCCAAGATTTCAACTACTGTTGTCTCGCGTCAGGGGCGTCCAGCGGTGGTATTTCGTGATCATAGTCCGCGGAAATACCACGGTCACCATGACACATTTTGATGACAATCTTGCCGATTCCCATTTAGCGGAACGTTCAAGTTCAGCAGAGCAAAAAGGTAAACTACTGGTGACTGCCGTCAACTCTCCTAACTTGTGGTCACGTGAACGACCTTCATTTGACTTGGTCCTTGACAAGTACATACATTACAATATCTGAAAGAGAATACAGGACTGTGTGCCTCTGACTTGGGAAGGCACTATTGCCTGAATATGAAGTGATAAAAACAAGCCCCACGTTCACGGCTCATAACTACTCAAGATTCAGGACTTAGAGTTCCCACTGCCTATTGGCAACAATATGCCTGAAGCCTCAAATGTAGCGGAAGAAAGATACGGAGATGAAGCGAACCTCTGTGTCACTGAAATGCCAATTAGTTTGACGATGAGTGGTTCTGCGTTGCAGAATTACGTACCTTTTCCCGCTGAAAAGAGTGATGTGAGTTTAGAAGCCTAAAGGTGGGATACATGCAAATGACAGTTTGGTGGACTCAGCGAAGCAAAAGTGTCCTTCGAAGGACAAAGACACCCAACCCACTTGCAATAAGCGGCTCATGAGTCCAAAGATGAGATTTGTTCAGTAACCCTATCTTTGGCATATATACGGGACAGCTATTAGAAAAGCACCACGAAAGGTTATGCCGAAAGTGTAATCAGGCAAGACGGATTGTGTAAATAGTGGTTAACACATCATCCAGCCTTGCTTTCAAGTGGCGGCCCTGTTAACGGCTTCTTTGTGTGACATTACTATGCATTGAAAGAGAACTTAGGTTCCTCAAAAGGGCTTCCAGGTGTAAGGAGGAATTGTCGGACTATTAAAGAGGGTGATAGCAAGTAAGTGACTTGGATAGGAGTGTTCACTGAAATAAAATTGGCGTCTCACTCCCTGAAAAAATTACGACACTATTGCTCTCTTGGCAAACGAATAAAGCCCATCATTATTTTGAATCCGACGGACATTCTTGATGAAGAGAGGAGGAGCAGCTGGCAGGAGGCATGTGTGCTTGGCGATTTATCCGAAAACGAGAGCTGTTGATATCAAAATGTTTCGCCGCTCGTCGACAAATTCTTCCATCCTATTCCCACTGTGAGACATAAACAACAAGGGTACATCGGAGGCAACATTTTTTGACAACACAAGTAACTTTGCCGGTGACTGCACAGGACTATACGGCCACCCAATTCATTGCAAAGAAAAAGTTCACGATGAATTGTTAAAGAAAGGTGCCCGGCGGCACCTGAACCCTTCACAATGCAGCCACCAAGGAGGCCTGTGGGAATGACTAGTCGGAATTGTACAACACGTTTTGAATTCCCACATTAGAAGTGGCGGAATTTTTATCTAAATACTGCAAAACCTTTTGAGCAAAGCAGCAGGTATTTTCAGTGACAGACCACCGTAGGCGGTATGGTGAAATGTAGCTGGAAAACCCTTACTGTACGGGGTTTGCAGGCGTACTTCCTTTCTTCTGCATTGAGACATATTATTACTGTCCTCTTTTCCTACCCTGTGTTGCTTAAACTGGCAAGAGAACTTACATCAGTAGCGCAATTTGGGTCAAATTTTATTTGTATTCGTCTCCCGTGATTCAGTTTTCCCGACTGTCACCTTACGATGCGCTCGATCGACACCCAGACCGGCGTTCAACAGTCGTGCTGTTTCTTTGGGTAGCCCATAACTATTTCCCACTGACAGGAAAGTTTGTAAACATTGGTCAGCCGAGACATCTACGGCCTTAACGCCAGAGCCAGCCAGCCCAAAGGGACCCTTCAAGCAAGAATATCCTGTCTTTACCCAGCGGCAAGATGCTGTGCGGCGAAAGAGGCCTTTCTGCTTTGGTAAAAGCATATTAGTGGCGGAAATCGAGGCACGTGCCTGTCACTTTTCGAGACCTTAGTTCGCAAGTTTCGTGTTTGTTTATTGGCGGTTTGCAGCAGCATTCCTCATGCGCGGCCGACTTATGCCTCTTGGACTACGGAGGCTTGAAGGTATGGCTGTGTACTGCTTTGAGCTACCTACAATACTCCGGAGCTGAAAGTGGAAGAAGCTGACGCATCCCGCGTGATTCTCTCATGGGCGATAATCCAACGGCTGTCTATATTCTGCCGATCACGATTAATTTTCCAATCTGCTCCTTCCAGAGCCCACTAAAGGCTGCGGTGCCGAGTCGTCTTTTGTTCCAGGGACATTGGCCAACAGGGTGAGTCAGCCTTGCGTTGCAGGCATACTGAAACCCGATGACGGCATGACCAGTCTGGTCCAACGGAGGGAATGTTGTGGTGATAGCCAACAAGAATTCCGCGTGTGTGAGAAAGCAGTTCGGGCGAAAGGAGACTCGGTTATTTCTTCACCGAGTTGTTGGCCTCACCACTTTCGGCCAGTTCAGGTTCTTCAGCGAAAGTGAAGAATCGAGCTCGATTGCTGCTGTGTGTCTCACCCAAGAAATCGACAGTTAGAAGGCTAAAAACCCATAAACTCGGGATGTGTCTGTGGCCCAGTTTTAGGGGACAGCATAATAGCTTCTTCTACGAAATCATCATTATGGTAATCTGCAGTTGGGTTACTTTACACCACCCTCACCAGGAACCCTGTGGTTTTGTATACCCTTACAGGGAACCATACGCATTCCTCTAGACAGCCACCTCCTTAATTAGGGACTTGACGGGCTGCAAGAGAAGAATCACCTGGGCAGCCTCACCGCCTCATCTTTGCTGATCATGTCGTCGCGGTGTTGGGGTTGGAAGTTTCTCGATCTGAGACTTGGGAAGAGACCAGTGTCTTCGTGACACCGATAAGATGAGCACTAAACACATCGCTTACTTCACGTAGTTCATCCATTCTGTGAAGTGAACCCTGTGTACATTTGTAGACTCAGTTAAAGCTCTCTGTTTGAAACTCAGTTGGTGGCGTTTTCATAGCGACCAGTACATTGTGCGGCAGACCAAAACTAGAAGCTAAAAGCT